GATAAGATGTACCATATGTATGTGTTATTTAAAAAAAAAAAAAAAATATTTTTTTATTTATTCATTGTCAAACGACTTGACGGGGCCGCGACGCGAACAACAACAACCGAACAAAAACCGAACAAAACGCACGCAGATGTAATATCGCCACAGTATACTGATCGCTAAGTAAAGGACCACCAAATTTTCACGTTTGACAAACGTACCATTTACATTACGAACTAATAAAGTGCATTGTTATTTTACATTACACGATGTACGTATTATCAATCAGCACAGGCTTAAGCTGGATTTCGATAGGCCCACGGATTTACCATCCTCCTCCAACCAGTCCCCACGAAAACCGATTACCTGATTGATCAAAAACACGTACCTGTGCACTAAGCAATTGAACGTCGACATTGATTACAAACAATAAAAACACATTAACAGCGCGCACCTATCGTGCTGGCCCCGGTATGGATTTAACCAAATCGTTTACCCGTTCAACGATGGTTCCAGTAGGAATAATACTGACGAGGAGCAGAGGACCAGTCGATTTCGGTTGGACGCGCGACCCTTAAATTTCGTTTCGCGGTGAGGTGCGCAGCTACAGAGCGCTCACACTTGGGCAAATGCGGCTGACGATTTACAAGCCCGCACGGTTTTCGTTCGCCCGAAACGTACGAACGTCCGTTACGTTCTGCGTTCGCTTATGAATTATCATTTCAACCCGTGCGTGTACGAATCGCTCGAAAAACGCGGAAGATTGGGATCAGAAAAAAAATATCCGAAACCCACCATGGTCGTCGAGTGGTTGACGGTTTCAAACGATCCGCGTTCAAAGGGACGGTGCACTGGTATTTTTAGAGGCGGTCGGAGATCTCGTTATCGACTGCGTTGTATTGTACGGGCGACAATGTCGTGCGTCGCACATTCGGCCGGCAGACGGATGAGGTTTTCTCGGGTAGGCGCACGACCGCGGACGGAAGTTCTGACCGGCACCCGTAGTGGTACGCAATAACGCCGTCGGTTTTTCAACGTCGAATTCCGCCCGGTACGAAAACCCTGTAAATGCGACGCATTAGACAAACCTCAGAGGAACTCACGACGAGACTTTTGCGGCGTTCGGGTTTCCACCCTCTCCGCTCAAATCCCGTTTCGCGGGACGTCACGGGAACGCAAGGGTGAGAAAAAACTACCCCGATCGATGGACGCGCAGCAACGCGCAGGGTCGTCGGCGGTATACAGATATATTGTGCAACGAGACGTTCGTAGAGAGGTGTAACGGGAAACGATTCCGATCTCGGGTTTTTGGCAACGTGCGCCGTGTGCCCGCAGTGCGCGTGTTACACGCGTTGTACTTCGTCCGCCGATAATAACGATGGTAACAGCAATAATAACAATATCAAATACTAACGCAACGTTCGCGGATTTCAAAACGTATTATCGGAATGTCGTCGAATCGGTGCACTTGGGTTCGTCGCTGTTTCCGAAACTTCATTAGCGGCAATTGCTTTTCAGACGGTTCGCGGCATCCGCGCGCCGTGAGAAAATTATAACACCGATGCGCTCGACCGCTCTGGTTTCGGGTGTCGACTGTTGTGGTCTTGTTAATTGTTTTGGTACGTATGCGCTCGGGAGCAGTTCAGAAACGATTCAAAAATGTAATGAATAGCGAAAATCGGTAGACTCGCTGAATGCGCATAGTTTAACTCAGATGCATGACGTCATAGATGGATTTCGTGCGTTTGTGTTAAAACTATACGGTCAAAACGAGATAGAACTAGATAACTAATGGGATCGAACAATTTTGAACAAAACCAAGCCTAAAAAAAATAATATTCTACATTATGCAAAATAGTTTTGGATCAGTCATCTATTAAATTAGTAAACTATAAGACTTGAATGCATTTGTTTTATAAAAAAAAGTAAATAAATGTACAGTTCATTTTGTATTTCTATAATACTTGGCGGGACAGTTTTTCTACCTGGAAGTTAGTGCCGCGACAAAAAAAACTAAAGTACATTAATGTAAAATCAATGCGCTCCTCGCTTTTTTCAGAATCGAATTATACTATTTAGTCCATTAATTGAATCGCTCAAAATAACTGCTGTAGTTCGATATCATTATTTTCTCGTGTTTTCCGTGTGTTGTTGGTTCGTGTTTAAATAAAAATATGAACAACAAATAAACATTTTTCGTCGGGCTATAAACATTATTGGAGCAATGAATTAATTTAATCGTTAGTGTCCTTAAACATATTATTTATTAAATAACGGAAAGAAAATGTATAAACGTACTGGAGATAAAGAACAAATCATAAAGCATTACAGCGATTTCTTATAATATGGGGTTTAATGTGAACAATTTTTTTTTACTCAAAACTTGTCGTATTCGTTGTCGATAAAATATTCATAGGAGCAAATTACGTATACATTTATATCGGTGTAGCTTATAAAAAAAAAATAAAAAACAACAATTAGGCACGTAAGTCATTATGCACTATAATGTAGTAGCGATGAGAAATAAATTACGGCTACGTGCTCCCAAACGTCTTGACAGTTACTTTTAAATTTTCTCGGCAAAAACAAGAAGTAAACAGTTACGCCTAAATCAAAAAAAATAAAAATAAAAATAAAATTTTTTAAAAAAACAATTTAGTTATATCAAAAACACTGAAAAATAATTCGAGCTCAAAAGCAAATAATGTTTTAAAAGATTCGATCTGATTAATTAATTCTGCCGAATTAAAATCATCAAATTCGTCACTTAATTTCTTCGCGCCAATAATAATTTCATCCTTAGAAACTCATCTAAGGTTTAATATATAAGTGAATAAATCCCTATTTTCACTCAGGCCTGCAAGTCATACTTGTAACTGTGTGACAACAATATCTACGCTCCGATCTAAAACTTGACTTTCAAAATAGTGTTTTCCATTTGACAGACGTTGATCCTGTCAAAGCTTATCGCGATTTTCTTTTTACTTCAATTGTTCATTTACTCGAAAATGCTGATGTTGTATTCCATTTGAATGTCTTTAAATTACCTTCCAAAAAATAATATATCAAAGTCATAACGAATTACAATTATATTTCTAATGTACTTTTAATTAAATCAACAACTTTTCCAATATCTGCTGTAGGTGACTATAATATTTTAGATGCTATATTGATTTTTGACAATACATCATTATAACTAGAACAAGTGCTTCGTAACATTCAAAATATTTTTTTAGAACACTTCCTTCAGTTTCTCCACCTCAAGTGTGGCCAATCAATGTTATATTATTTGAAAGTCACATTACACCTGGATACAATTTGTGGAGTGATTTTAATCAATCAATTCTAGACAACCATCGAGTAGAGCATAATCGTTTAAGTTACCTGTTTACCTCAAAACTATATTTTTTTAACTTAGCCCACCGCTGTGTGCTGATTCCGTAAAATGAGTTCAGACTATCGAGCATTTTAACAATATCTTTAACCGAATCATTCACCACTAAAATCAAATCGTGTAATGCACACTAAACACATTTGGTTTCCTCTGTCGTTGTCGAAGTCGAGCTCGTAAGCCGTTATGTATACCGCTCGTACTTTTGAGCTGGAGGCTCTTCTTACGCCGAAGCCCATGTGTGAAATCACACCTTTATCGTTATGAAGTTCCGCCATAGGTAGCTTCTAATTTATCCATACACTACATACGTGCACTATTGTACGTTATACTTTATAGATTTGTTGACCAAAACTGGTTTTAGTTTAGAAGCACAAATAAAATAATCTTAAAAAACGCTTATGATACTTATTGGAATTTAACGGTTGTAGCGATCCGAAACGTAACGTACCTATTACTGATACACAGGTAGTTTACAACGTTATAACTGTTGATGAACATACGACATACAAAGATTTTTACACCCGATAAATTGTTGTACGCAAATTCGTTTGGTATAAAAGTGAAGAATATCAACAACATCTTGTTAGATTGAACCGGGCGATGTCGGCTCCGCGGGTGGTTTGGGATCCAACCGGTACGAGACCGGTTTTCGTGTACAAAGAAACGATTTATAGCATTTGGATCGAATCGCAAACCGCCGTGCGATGCTGCGCGCACATGGGCGAGCCAAACACGAAACCGATCGTGAACGTTCGCCAAAATCACTTAGTCACGCTGCTGGGGCGTTCCGACGTCTAATGCCGTCGGCGAGACGAGTGAAAAACAAAAATTAAAAAATTCCAATCGGTTCCCGTCCGCCCGTGGGGGTTTATTCTCGAAACGGCCAAAAGTAGTAGTATGTATTTGTAATCTCGGAGTCCATCGAAAAACCCAATATATATTCTAAGCCCTTTTTTTTTTTTTTTACTCAGAACATACATTGGGTTTCCGATGAACTCAGAACATTTTTTTTTTTTTTTGAACTTAGAACATACATTGGGGTTGTTTTTATGGACTCAGAATATACAAATACATATAATTACTAAAGCTTTCGTAAAAAATACACGTTCACGGTTCGCTATTAGTGCTCGCAGTGCACCCGACGTAACGTATAACGAGTATTCGGCATCTTCCCGCTGGTCACCGGCACGAGTTGGCACCAGTTAAAAATAAACGTCGTTACCGAAACAGAAAACGTCGACGATTCGATGTTTATTTCGCACCTTCTTTCCCCCGTGGGTGCGGGTGGTGAGTATACATTTATTCTTCGAGGGGTCGATTCCCCTTTCGTTCACTCCTTCTGAAATAAACGTCGCGACGATTGTTTGCCGATCGGACGTCAACAGAAAACCGTCCTAACGTGATCGGGCGCAAGCGGTCGCTGTCACGTTGCGACGACTACGGACGAACAGTTAGCATTACCAACTCACTGGAATACGATTGTTCGGTATTCAAGGGGGACCCGGGGACATTGGCTACGAGAACGTTTGTAATTTTGTATCCGCGAAAAAAAAAATATCAGTGTATTTATTACGCTTTCGGACGCACGTGGGTGTTAATCGTTTTTCCGTATTTTCCGCAGGTGAACACCCGGCAGCCATGCAGCACGGTAACCGGAGTGCGGTCAGTGGCCAGATGACCGTACACGTGCTGGCCCTGTTCAGCCTCGTCATAATGATGTCCAACCCGGTGCTGTTCGGCCACTGAGGAAAGTAAACGGCGGACGGGACGGCGGCCCCCCGGGGTTCCGGCCGGCGCCGTCTCTGTCCTTTAACCCTTCATCCCGCGACGGCGCCGATCTTATTCGCCTTCGTCCTTCGCGTGGAGGCGTATAACCGATGGCGAACCACGACGTCCCTTCACTCTTCTCCGCAGTCGTCGTGCAGTCGTTCTCTGAACAACGAACAACATCGGAAAAAAAGGAAGAAAAAACAAAAAAATAAAAAAAAAAAACCCTTTGAAAACCGTCACGCGTGTACATAAGCCAAAGTTTATATATATATATATGTATGTATGTATGTATTATATTATATGATAATCAATGTACGTACCACGTGTTGAGTCCTAGACGATTTTCTCGGTCAGAAGGATGTGTTTCAATACAGTAGACGTGATATTGTATGCATTGTGTGAGCGCGCATGGAATGGCTTACGGTTCGGAATGGTTTCAAAAAAAAAAAAAAAACCCGAAACGATAACAAAATATCGAATAATTTTTCGGACGATATACTCTATATTACTCTATGTAAGCAAAATAGTTTCCGGGGACTCGGCCGCTCCAGCCGTCGTCTCTGTGAATAAATATCGAAGCGGTACATTCGTTCTAGTGGCTTACCGATTGTACATTATTTTACTACGAGTATAAAATATGTCTGTACGCGCACTGGAAAACGAATATATTTTATGTTTTTTTTTTTTTTCACTCGCAAACATTATTATTTCTTCTTCAATCCGTTTGAATCGGAACGAAAACATATATATATATATATATATATATATATATATATATACAATCACTCCAAACACACTGGATCAAGGGTAAACTAAGGACTCGACCATTTTTATATACATTTTTTTTTTTTTTTTGTTACCATACACAACGGGGAATAAATTCGTATCGCGCCTAGATAATTTTTCGAATTTAAACATCATCCACGCGCGAATTATACTCAACGCCGCCGCTACCTTCGCCATGAAAGACGAACGTTTTGAACGCAAATATCGTAAGCCCGGGAACGGCGTTTAGAACATGACGTGTATCGTGTTCAAAATGTAAACAGGTAAAGTAGCATCCCTGTTGCGGTTTATCGCGTCCACTGGTTCCGACAGAATGCGTAGTACGACCCACGTTCTAGGGACGATGTTCTCGCCGTAACGCGCCTGGGGAGTAATTTTATTAGCGCGCGAGTGTAGGTTTTAAAAAAATTTAAAAAAAAAAAAAAAAACTTTTACGTTTTTACCAGAGGAACGAACGTTCACTATTAATACCGTCTACGCGAGACCCGGCGGTAAAACGAGGAATAATGTGACTACGAACGAAATCCAAAGGTAGTGCAGAAGGACTTGCGCAGCAGGTGTACACGTTCGGTGTCGGTAAACGATCAACCGATTTTCACCGGGTCCGAATTTAACTGCGTCGACCGTGGGAAACCGAGCAGCAGTAGATGCGTAACGTAATAGCCCGCGGATAAAACACAAACCGTTTTTACGGCGACGCGATTACACACCGTTGTACGACTGTAACGCGCGCGCCGGGTCGATAATAATATCGCGGGGACTCGCGTAAATCGAACGCGCCGTACGCATTACCTGCTTTCCGTTAAATTGTATAATGCACCGTATAACGTATTACAGGGACCTATTAAACCATTGAAATCCTTTACGGCATTATGTTATTAGTCCGTTGTATTATATCTGTACCGCGCCCACGCACGTGCCCGTCCGGTTAACGTGTACATTTCCGTATCCTTTCGTAATGTTTATTCGCACGCGCACGTATCTATACACGGAGAGACCTTCTGATAGATGTGCGCGCATTAAAATTTAATGCACTGAAAGAATTCGATTTACGGTTGCAGTTCTATATACGTACACGGGTGTGCGGGTATGAACATGGAAGTAGGTTGCAGTCGGCTCAGCCGTATAAAACCAACGACCGAAAGTCAATTACCCGATTGGTGAATAGTAGTATTGTCTGTCAATGGTAAAATATTATCTCACCCCCACCCCTACCGTCACTCGCCACTCACGCGCATCTCTTCTTTTTTTTTTTCTCCCGATACCGCTCAATAATAACGCGAACGTCATCATCGTATCGTATCCGCAGGACGACCGGATATCGTTTTCCGGAGACGTTTCGCGAAAACGCCTATGCCGTATTATTATTATTATTATTATCATTATTACACGACGACGTCGGTCTAGAATACACGGTGACGACGACGTAAAGATGCATAGATATATTATACGACGTATACCTGTCCACAACCGTTTGCGGTCATCGCCGCGTATCGTGAAATGCCGATGTCGATTCCGCCGACAAATGACCCCGTTCATTTATAATATTTCGATTGTCACCGCGTCCGACGTTATATATCATCCCTCCGAACCCCGTGTACGTACATCATGTTGGCACGTGCGTTCTTGTCGTAAATTTTCATCTCGAGATCGTCCCGCGCTCGGCCACTAAAGCAATAGCAATAACAGCGCTGTGCCGGAGATCAGAATATTTGTTTTAATCTACCGGTTTCTTTTCTTTTCTTTTCTTTTTTTTTTTCAATATGTTTTATTTTTTCGTTCCGAACCACTGCATGTTAACCGAAACGTTCTTATTTATTGGATTTCGCGAGACGCAAAGTAAAAGAACTTCATAAAAATAATGTCACAATTCACATTCCGGACGCTCCGCCCGCCGACCCACGGTCAACCGCATCCGGCGACTTCCGACGGGACGGCCGTCGTTGCGGTCCACTCTCGGCAAACGGACGTAATTTCTTCTTAATCCCTCGGGCTGTTAACGAATACGGATTCCTCGTAAGTCCGCATTAAGCCTGCAAATTGAAAATACCACCGCGTCCAGCGCGCGCTCTCGAACAAAGGCTGACTCGTCCGGAACCGACGAGACGAACAACCAGCGTACGCGAGTTGAAAGCTTCACGGCTCCGCGGCCGATTTCACATTTCCATCGTGGTCGATCACTCTCGTCAAACGTCCGGACGGTGCTGGACCGCCGTAAAGTAAACGCGCGACGGTAGCGAAAGAATGCACACGATAGGAAACCCGGTTATGCATGTTACCCGCAAAAAAAGTACACGTGCCGCCGTGGTCCGGTCAAATGAATACAAATCAAAAATAAAAGAAACAACGACGCAAACGAACGACAATCGATTGCATTTACCTACGTCCGGTCATTTACGTCTGAACCCGGCATGCTTCGTAATGGTCGGGTAATTTCCAGTGGCAGATCGCCATCCCCGTCACTCTAAAACCGAGTTTCGATCCTTTTCGTTTGTTCGACATCTTTCGCTAGCGATTTTTTCAGTATTTTCCAACCTCGGCGTCCGCGCTGCTTTTAATACTCACCCACAAAACCTATTATGCAAATGTTTGTATAATTATTCGTCCCCAAGACATTCGACTTCTAATTATTTTAGTTAATAATCCGCTGCTAAAAAACTCTGCGCGATAATTACAACAATTATTCGTTTTACTACAACCGCTGATAATAATAAGCCGTTATCGCGGGTGTAAACGGAAAAAAAAAGTCGAAACTTAAATTGCGAAGCGTCACAGTTTTCGCGATCCCCCCGCGGCCGACGCTTTTATGGACGCGACGAAAACGACGATTCGTGCAATCGTTAAAGCAAACTTCAACCAAAACGGAAGCGAATCTATTAGAAACCGATAACTTCACCGTAGTTGTCCCCTCGAACGTCTCGTGTCGCATGCTAAAATCGTAAAACGAAAAAACGACAGCAACGAAAAGGTCGTTGGGGTCGCGTCGTGTCGTACGAACCTAATACATATATATATAAATATATTTCAAAGACTATCCGGTCATAATAATAATAATAATAATTAATAATAGAAATACGTGAGCTTCACAGATCGGCGCGCGTTTCGTTTCTCGAAAACGATGATCCGATACTAGTTTGCGCTTCGACGTGAATACTTTCGATATTACGGTTTTAATTCGATCCGTTCAACATACGACTTGTTCGTCTCGACGTCGGCTAATCTATTCCCGTCCAAACGACTAAAAATGAAAGGCTGCAGGATCCGCGCATCGGTGCGAGACATCAAACGCGCGTAGTCGTCGTACAGGTTCATTTGACAAATTATTTGCGTTGGCGTGCGGCACACGAAAAGTAACGAACGGCCCGGGAACGACGCCGCGCGCAGTAGCTCGTCAGAACATAAAAGTGAATGACAAATGCACGAGAATCTATTTAATTTAAATATATATATTTATTCGACTATACATATATATATGATGCGTATTACCCGCAGTCAAAGAAACCGAGTTAATGCGTTGGGAGGCATAATCACGGCATGCGGTGCACGCCAGAGATACCCAACGGAAAGAACTTGCGAACCGCGAAAATCTTCGCCGGACCCTTTCCGGACGGCTGGCAAGGGGTCAACAAAACCGCCTACAACGGAATCGCGGACCCACAAGAGCGCGGGAATAGCCATTACGGCATTTACAGGGACACAAACGTTGTAGCCGCAAACGTTTAGTTAATCTCGTTACAACACCAAGAATGTTAATAGCCAAACCGCACACGCATGATACTGCTCAGTGCGGGGAAGGGCCGGGGCTGAGTCCGTACCAAGCTCGAAGCCAAGATCTACGGCACGGTCGAAAACACGCGAAAACATTAGGTTCGCCGGGGCGGTGAGAAAAATACATTACGCACAAAGTGGTGGGCCGTCACGTTTCCCTTCAGTGCAGTCATTTATTACGAGGAAAAATGCGGTAACGCAAATATTGGACGAGGGAGTGGGGGGGGGAGTTTAATACTGTCCCGGAATGTGTGTTTACATTTTTAACGGATCCTATCGTGATGATCCGAATGATTCATAACACGCAATTTATAGTAGTATTTTCTATTTTGTGATTCTACGTCTAAGCAGCTGACTTCCAGTTTGAAAGTCTTGACACCCCTCCCCAATTTTAGCAGTACCGCCTCGGACCTCACTCTGTATATTACAATAAATATAGAAGAGTAAACGAGAGTAGGTTTTCATTTTTTTTTTTTTTTTTTTTGCGCAAACATTGAAAAAAAAATATATAACGCTCAGCAATTTCGGATAAAACACACATTCATATAAATTAAATGTCATGAGTACCGCGGGTCCTACACATTAGCAGTTTTCGATGCGTAAATCATCACCAGCTTTTCGCATTGGAATCGATCGCGGTACAACACTTCGCGTTCGCGTCGTTTTATTTCCCCCCCCCCTCCCCCCCCGTAAAATCCAATCGATACGTTCTCTCGGACGAACAACTCCGCCTGCGTTCTCGCGATGAAACATCCGTCCGTATTAGCCTCCCCAAAAATGAGCACGCGCAGGATTCGCCGCGCGAAAGAAACCGTGCGCGCAAACAGTGATCGCCCCGCGGATATTGACAACGGCACTAATCGGCCGAAGGAAATTTCACGCGTACGGCCGCAGCGGCCTCGGAAATATTGCATTATCGTCTCGTAACCGACGTGGAGAGCGTGTTGACGTCACGCCGAAAGTGCGCGGAGTTAACCCGTTCGGTAACCGTTTTTCGGGTAAGCGTTTTTTTTTTTTTTTTTTAAAGCTCGAGCCACTGGCGCGCACGTTCTCGCGATATTTCCCCGCTCGGAACGTCTACTTAATACGCCCGCGCGCGAAACGGGCTTCCGCAACCGTTACAGGCTAAGAGGCTTAATGACTCTTGAGGGACGTCGGCGACAATTCCGGCACACACATCTCTCACTTGTTCCGGTCATTGAAAGGGACGCCGTCGTCGTCTCCCAAAACCGATGAGCGCCGCAGACCGCGCGCGCGCCGTCAACACGAATATTCCGAACGCGAAACACTCGCCCGGGAGCAACCCACCACGACCGGATCCGCACGCATCGATGTGCATTACGCGTTTTCGAGACGGTACGCGGTGCGCTGTGCGCGAGGAAATAATGAAGAAGAAAATAAAAACCGGATCGATCGATTTCGGGTATCGCGGATTCGTTTCGCGGTGTGAATATACCAATGTATATTTATACGTGTGCGCGCGTCTGCGAGCAGTGCCGGCGCTAGGGGAGGACAAATGGGACGTTTGTCCAGGGCCCCTTGATTCTTAATCATCATCTTAATACCATGAGCCCACTTAGACGTTTCACATGAAAAAATTATAAATCTATATGATCATCAGTTATTTGAAAAATTATATCTAAATTTAGCCATAGTACAAATTACGAAGTAAATCGTTATCGATACGACGTAAGCGTAATATTTTGACGGTACCCGTCGTGTAGGACGCCTACAATAAATAGTAATATAGATTTTTTATTTTCTCTGTAGTTATTGTTTAAAATTCGAAGAAAAACAGTATTTTTTTTAAAAAAATCCTGATTTAAAGAAAAACCTAGAATCTCGCCGTTCTCTGGCAACCTAAAGGCTAATACCTATGTCCAGGGCCCCGCAATACCTAGCGCCGGCACTGTCTGTGAGTCTATGGACGGTATACAAACACGCGCGTTGTGCACATATTTTTGACCCTCCGAAGTTCAAAGGCCGTTCCGCGCGCTTTATTGCCGACGGCGATTAGTCTTCGTTGTCTTTCGAACCCGACGTCGAGAGACGACACCGCGTGCGCGACGACCGATAGTGGGCGGACAAAAATGAAATACAATTTCAGTACCGTCCGGACTCGCGTCCGCGGGATGAAAACTTTTTGCGTGACACGAAATGTCGACGGTTAGCGAAAGCGTAAACATCGTGTTTTTCCTTTTTTCCCGCTCTCGGTTTTTTTTTTTTACTCGCGAGATTTGTATTAATGTTTTCTCAGTGCGGTTCGATAAAGTTATACAACGTTTATTTTCTATTTCTTATCGTTTATTTTTTCGCCATTTTTCTGTACGCCCCCGTGTCTTGCGTTTTCTACTCCTCTCGCTCGGTTTATTCCATTCAACTTATTGTGTATCGGTGACTGCGCAAAACATTCGTAGAGTAATAATAAAATAACATTTTCGCCCCGTCTCGCGAGTGCAAACTGCACACAGCGTACATGTACTTCGAGAACACCGTCTCGCTCGGATCCGCCGTCCAGCGGCGACCAGTTTGTTGACTTTCCGATTTCCACTGAACGTCGAATCGAATGGTTGCCAGTTAATTCTCTCTGCGCTACGTACACCCGAAAACCTACTTTTAGAAACAAAAAATTGATTTCCTATGGAAAAATAAAATAAAACAAATTATACGCGTAAAAGTTTGATGAAGACTATGTTTAGAAACTTTTGGGTAAAAAATAAAATAAAAATACCAAATGTTTACTGCGTTATATTTCTGAAAACCAAATGTCCCTACCTTGCGATATACACCGTAGGGGGTGGTTCCCTTATACATAACATACAACTCCGGATCCGAACTACACGCGCGTTCCCGCACAGATTCGCGGAACATACCCGTAGGGTTTATCGCTTATAATATGTACATAATATATGCACACGTACACGTTTGTGTATGTGTATGTGTACCCATGAACGTGCTCCGCTGATACTGTAAAATACGATTTATCTGAATTTATCGGCGAACAACGACGGCCGCCGGCGGTAGGGGTTGGACCTGCAACGTTTGCGAAACGTTACGTGTACGCTTTGCGATGTTTATACACATTATAACACTTATAACACTGTATGCGCTAGTCGAAAACGTTAAAAGAAACGATTTTCTTCCCAAGCGTCGCGCCATAACGCCGTTTGCACGGTGTAATACGGTGCTTCGGGATAACGAGAAACGTGAGAGCTGTTTTCACGGGAGCCAGGCGGATTATATGTCGCCCCGATCGAGTTGTTGTAACTATGGAGTTTTCGTTGAACGAATGCCCGACCAAAAAACTTTTATTCCTTGTACAATTTCGTTGTTTCTATTGTTTTCGCGGTAATATAACGAATTTTTATGTACACGAAAAAACTACCGTCGTCGAAAACCATACTCAGGGGCGTCTGGAGATCCGGGAGAATCGGAATGTTAGAATTAGAACGCTAACATGTTACCTGCAGAAGGCTTTCAGCCGGCTCAAGAGCACCCCGTTCGCACCACTAGCGCAAAGCATTTACCTAATCGTATTCGAAACGTATCGGCACGACGATGAAAATGTATTTCAACTTTAAATCATAGACGTAAAATCTTTTCGACGCAAAAAAAACCACATTTGTCAAAATGTTCACCGCCAAAAAAAAAAAAAAATAAATATTGGTATAGAATATAATGTATCGGAAACGGTAGAACACTCGTGATAAACTTCGTTGCGTATGCGCATACTCACCTAGAACGTACAACTTACAAACAACCGAATTAAAACATAACTCGTGAGAGGGTGGGTGCGGTCCGTTAGTATTCCGAGGAAATGGAAAAATAATAGAATACGTACTGCAAACGGGGGCGCAAGTATAAAATAATATTGAAATGCAAACAGCAATACCGTTTGAAAACAAATGTGATCCGACCGGACGTATATTAACATTATTATTATTGTTGTTGTTGTTAATATTTGAATATTCTCAACACGAAATTCGTTATCTGCCCCCTCACTACTAACCCGCCGTTTTCCAACTGACCAACGATTCCACGCGCGCTCGCAAATCGTACAGCTGCACTGCAACGCGTGTGTGTATTGTTCGTATAAACATATAAATATATCAGCTTGTTTATGATAATTGTAAGATTATTGTTGTTCGAAATCGCGCGAAAAAAGAGCAGCGTGCCGAAAGCCCGCCCGCTCACACCAGCCTTGTGTACAACATGCATACATTATTGTAAAACTATAATAACTGTAAAAAATTATACATTATATTATTATTATTATTATTATTATTATTATTATTACTATTAATACATACAATTCATAAATAATATAATTTTTTTCATTTACGATGTGCATAACGAAAATGTGTAACGATTAGAAATACTTTTACTTTGACAAACATTTCGTTAATCGATTATTAATTAATATTATTATTATGATTTTCGAATGGTTTAAATAATTTATTGTTAATTCTAATCGTTTATTCAAATGTATTTCCTACCATACTCCACGTAAGTGGCGCAGTCGGCCGCAACGGTTTGAAACACGATTCCTCTCTTTTCACTGTCCGACGTAGTGATTTTCGGTTTTAATCAAATAATCATCGTGATATTATTTATACCCGTCAACGGTAATAATAATAAGCATGGTGATCGATTTGCGCTTTACGGTGTTTGTAAAACGTATGGTCGGCGAGATGTATCATCAGGGTGATGCCGGTCATCTTTTTCTCAATAGCACAGCAGTAGCGTAATCGAACAGATACGTTTGCTCTCTACTAGGTGTTTCGCTCGATCCATCGCGTTGTTCCCGCACAATCCGTTACGATCACGGCGGATTCCGACCAACCGCGCGGTTGAATCCAAACACGTAAGCTGCATCGATTTCGATTTCATTGAGAACCCAATGACGTGGTACTTGTATTGCTGTACACGAGCAAGCGAAAAAAAAAAAAGATTAAAAAAAAAAATACCTGTATCCGTCGTAGGCGTACAACTTTTTATTAATTGGTTTGAATTCGAATTTCTGAAAGTCTGCAATAACTAGGTCAGCTGTTCGCTCTTTTCGACCGCGACGTCCTCGGCAAACCGATTGCGTTTTGCGAAACCCCCGACGTCCCTAATTTCAACATTCAATTCCGGTCTTTCATTAATTCGGGTGCTTTTTTTCCCCACAGAAATTGATTATGCAACATTTTTGACGGTTCCGTTTTCTTTTTCAACGGTCACTTGTCTTGCGGAACGCACTTTTCCGCCGAGTGTAAAACATTAAAAATAAAAACGTTCAAAGCGCGTAGGGAGGACCGGGGGTTTACAGTAAATATTTGTTTGCGGTCCCAAAGTTTTTCCGTTCCTGGTTACGCCACCGAACGCGCTCCGTCAGTCAAAGGGAGCGCACGCGATAATTACAAACGAATTTCCCGTTCGCCCTCCGATCGCGTTAGCACGCACAACATAACAGCGCGATCGGTCGACCGTCACCGTATTAATAAACACTCTCTCCATCAACGATTCTCGTCTCGATTTCCTCCCGGCCGCGAACAAATTCGATTACCGCATTACACCGATAGTCCCTCCACCGGATTACCCCGTTTTCTTTTCCCGTCGCGACCCTCGCTCGATTGGCCCTTCGGTGTACAACAGTGCACGTGCACTGGCGCTACGGTACTGCTCTCAACCCTCCGTTCCGAGTTTTCCAAAGCGATAAATTCAATTTTTCTCCCGGGCTCATTCTCGCCCGTTCTCGACGAACGCGTTAAACGTAATTTTACATATATTTTTTCCCCGTTCTTTCGCACGGGTAATCGTATTTTTTCGGTCCTTCCGTCGTGTGCCGACACATACGTACCTACCTCTACCTGCTTAAAAAAACGCGAAACGTTTTGGTCATAATTCATAAGAAAAAAACACAACGAAAAAAATAGGCATTACTCTCTGTGATATTACACGTTTCGTATGCATTTATTTTGTTCGGTCGTGTGTTATACTTCACTTAGACTCCATAGAATTTCAATCCGACACCGAGGCTCGCACACATGCACACACCTGTACAACAATAATAATAAAAAAATTCTTATTCCTTTCGTCTCGTTGTTAACCGTTTCGTTTTATCTACACCGAAAAGTTGTATGTAATAGTAACTAGCCTCGTCGCTTACGAATAAACGCTAAAATGCGTCGGACATAAATAAAAACCTCAATTATTACTATCATTGTTCCTTGATCTTTAATCGATCTTATTGAAATGTTCAATCGTACTACGTATAGTTTATTGTTCCTTGTTGAAAATGTTCCGTTTTATAATTATTATTATAATTTTTATTATCTGTACGGTATTTCTATACACGTTATATTGTATCATACTACTTGTTATATTGTTTTTTTTTTTTTCATTAGTTCAATATTGTATAATATTGTGTTACTTTTTTCCCTTGGGTTTTTATAGTAAAATATAAAATTGTTATTATTGTTAATATGTACATATACATAGATTTATAATATTAATTTGATGACTTTGTTAAATAATTCTTGTTTCAGATTAGATTTTACGAAAATCTCTAGTCAATTAATGATTGAATATGTTAAAAAAAAAAAAATAGAAAGGAATTCATTAAATTGTGTATGTATATACACACGTTGCGGCTAATAAGTCATAATGTTATTGAAGTGTCATTAAAATAAATCCCCGATACAACTCAAAGTTTACACGATACCAAGGATGAAAAACTGTGGTGTGTAATTATTATACGGCTACATAATATACTATAATACGGTGTACCTACGGAAAACCATGCGGTTATTGTTATTCCTAAACAATACCGATAAATCTATGTTGTACGAACAAAGTTTGAATATCATATTCGTGAATGTATACACGATATATAAGTGCATGCATTGAAGTTATACATTCTCGTATTTGTTAGTGATTATTGACAAACGTAAAGTTGCATACACACATTTAATGCATAGTTCATTCGTTTTCCGATTTAAATTCGACACATTGTGTTTAGCATATTGAAACTCATAATATTGATTTAACTAAGATATTTATCGCTTCGCGTGGTACGCGTGCTTAGGCAAATCATTAGACGTTATTATGCACTCTACATCAGAAATAAAAGTCTATCGAAACACGTTATTGAGTACTTTTCATAATACGCCGCATGCCAAATGAAGTCGTTACGAAATTCCTAAAAAAAAAATACGTCGAATTTTATTCGAAAAACGCGTTAACCGCCGTGATTCAAAAATTATATACTAAAAAAAAAAAGTAATAATAATAGTTCATTAAACCACGTAGTTTGTATTTTCCGAGTACCTTACGCATAAAACATGTGCACCGACAGTCGAATCGAATGCGAAATAAAGTTTACAAAAAAATCACATCGGCCAAGAGAAATCCGTATTTTTCGTAAACGTTCTTAATGTGCTAGCACACAGGGACCCCCGCCGATACAGTCCGGAACGCGCATTGTACGCCGAACTTATTACGGCAGGTTAGTGGCGAGCGGGATGGGTGCACTCAAACGTTGCGATAAAACCGCGCGTTCGCACGACGACGCTTTCTATTGTGCGAAAATAACTGTATAGAAAAGGCGTCGCCCACGCGTACATATAACTTATAATGGACGTGGCGATCGGTATACTGCGGATAAGCACTGCGATCACAAATACATACTCTGGGAGAAGGAGAGGAAAAAACTTGGAACGAGCCCCTGTAATTTTTTTATTTATTTTTTTTAATCTCCGGGCACAGGTGCCAGTCATCTACCGCGTTGGTATCGCGTGCCATTGACTTCCCGAAATAGATTTTTCCGGATGTAGTACACATCACCGGTTTGTTTTTCCGCGCAAACGGATAACTATCATTAACAGTGCCTACCTCAAAGACAAAACGGTAGGGGGAAAAAATATTTTTCACTCCCTCCCCCCTTAGGGTTCAGGTAAAGGGAAAACATATTTATTTATTTTTTTAAGTCGGGGTATGCACGTACATAAATGGGTATCTCCGTAAATGTACGAATATATATATGTTTGTATTATACGTGTATATACAATATCTCTTGCCCGATAAACCTTAGCGAGGATTTAGATAATGTAGGTATTAAAGGTTTTGAAAGAAAAATACGATGAAAATAGTTGTAGAAAAATATTTATTATATAAACACACAATTGCTGAGTTTTCAGTCTGGTCGCATCTGATAAATAAATTGCAACGTAGTAAGAGCATACTTATACTTGTTATATTCCATATATATATATATAAAGGAATATACTGTTACAAAAAAAATTATAGCTTCTCCCTGCTTACAAATATATAATATTAGATAATACTTATGAATATAAAAATAATAATAGTACATCGGAAAATCAATAACAATATCGCCATGTGAAATTAAAAGTATTGCATGCGAACACGAACACACACGAGCAAATCGCATATGATCGACAGATTTAGCACTACGTAATTGTTGATGATCGCTTCGTTTACGACATTGTGCCAACAAAATGATTGAAACCGTACGGGTTACACGGATTAAATGCGAATAGGAATCTGTTAAGGGATACGCGGAAGAAATGTTTTCCGGAAGTGAATACATTTCAGTTGTATACTTCGAACCCCAAATATATGTACAATATATATTCATAGGATTACGGTGGTCCTATATTGTAGTGCATTTAAAACGGGAATCACGAAATCGCGACTGGCTGGCAGGCGCGTCTATTATGTGATGTAAAACACTGCTCAGCCTTCTCAACAGAACAAACATACACACGGTGCAAGCATACCTTACAATTCGATTAAATTCATATGACTCATATTTCCTGGATCCTGCTTGTGTCTGGGAGGTGGATGAGGCGGCGATGGCGCTCTCTTGTAATAAAAATCACTGTCGTTTTCTTCGACTACATTTTTCGTCCGACCAATCTTTTTCCCTTCTTCCGGGTACATTAACAACGGGTCCTGCGCCCAAAGAAATATGTTAGTTTTTCACCGCAATAACAATAACTAAATAAGTACAAAAGAACAATTGTGAAATGCATTTTTTATTTAATTTTGTGCTATACATCGACGGACTCGTGGAATTTTTCTACGGTTACAAATTTATCATTAGAAAAAAAAACAACAAATTATGTGATTGAGTTCTTCGTCTGTTAAAAAAACGAAAATCTAAATCAAATTTAGAGTTAACAACACGTCTGTAATATTATTGTAATACATAGGAGTTACAAGTAACAATTATAGAGACCAACTTTTAACCAAGTCGATAAATTAATGACGCATAAATTACAATTGGAACGCAGTAGCATCTGATTCCCTAAATCCTGGGATAGGTAGGTCACGTAGTAAATGCAACATGATGAATTGGTAATAAATACTTAACAACGGTATTAATACGACAACCTATAATAGTTGGTAGATTGATAGACAGTAACTACAAACATTATAACATTGTTAGCATTTAAATTAAATAAACGCTCGGTCAGGAATATAGGTGTATATTAAACAGAATATAGCTATATATATATATATATATATAAGGTAAAAAGAATAATAAGTTGATCAGCGTCGGTTGCTGTGGAACGGTCACAAATACGTCTGATCACTCGACTGATTCGGAGAAAGTGAAAATGCCGACCCGCACGCCGGAGCAAAAAGGGGGGGGGGGAAGGCCTGTGGTACGGTGTGACCAATCTGGGCCACACAGTGCCACGGCCTTTACTATAATTAAATATATTAACATTAACCGCTAACAACATTTAGTCTGCTATTTAATTTTATTAATTTATTAATTTTATTCATCACCAACAAAACTTTTGTTTAAAAATAAGCGATAATAACAGATTATTGTTAACTAAGAAATCTTTTAAAAGCAAATTTTTAAATATGTTCATTAACTAGTCTTTCAATGATTTAGAAACATACAGTTTTCGAACTACATTCAACAGTACCAAAGCAGATCAAGGCCGGATCACTCGCATGAAAATAATTATAACCATGATCAACTGTAAACAATATTATTTCAACCTATTTTACACCCAAAATATCATGTTTGTGTTATATTCCGTAGCTTTAATTCTTTTAGTACATACATTAATTAAGACTATCATTATAATTACAATTGCCACAAAATAAATTTAATTTACATTCATATTCAAAATAGATACCTAACCAAATCTAATACTAAAACAAATAATATTTATTTTTACGTATCAGGAACAGGGCTTATTCTAAAGCGCAGTTGGGCTTATTTTGCGTATTTGGAAAAGGTTGATGCACACTTGATAATAAACTTTTGCGTATTTGATTTTTAATTCAATGTTGTTTAGTGTTATTTTATACATTACATTATGATTTATAAACAAAGTAAAAAGAAAATTTATTAAAAAATATTAAAAAAAATACTTTGAACACGAATGTAAATTGTTTTATATCTTTTAAATACATTACATTTTAAATTACTTAACATAGAAGCTACACATTTTATCATTTTTAACTATAATTTGACGGTATGTTTTGAGATCATAGTTCTATTTTGATAGGCTTATTTAAACAAAATGCGTAGTTGATAAAAATCCTTAGAATAATCCCTGATCAGGAATATTGAGAAATATTTATACAGAACTGCACCAACATAATGAGTTTTTTTAAATTTATAACATATATTTAATTAGTTTAAGTTTAAAATTCTTGATTTGACCAATCCTGAATAATTGTGACATAATATTATTGAATCAAGAACATGTATTGCATATTGTAATGACAAATCACCATATTTAATCACATGAAAACTAAGATAAAAATAATACCTATAAACGTTACAAAAAATTAAAATTAATTATTAATATATAATACATACTCTTCCACTTAGCTTCAAGATTTTATTTTGTATAGATGACATTTGAGATCTCATGTATTCATACCTGGAAAAAACGGTCTAAGTACAGAATAAAATTGTCAACTAAATTACCTATAGTTCAAGTACATAGTTAATGTTGTTGTTTATTTTTTTTTTTTTTTTTTTTTTTAATGAACAGTTTGAAACCAAATAGAAAATAATTTTATTTTTATTAATATAATATCATCAAAATGTAGCATATTATACTTTAATTTTTTTTTTTTTTTTTTAATAATTTAATATATAGGCAAAATATTGTTTTAATTGAATTACTAAACTGTATCACAGGCATCACAGTAATGCCACTATTTATAAATAATATTAATAATCCATGGAAATAATAAAAAAATATTTGTTAGTTTAAAATTAAAAGGAATAATTATAAATAACATTTTTGAATTCTAATACTTTTAAAAATTATGATAATATATGAAACTAAAATTTATATTCATTAAAAATATTTCATACACATATTTAAGATTTGAAATAGCTTAATCAAAAGTAAAAAATAACAATATTAACATATCAACTTTAAAAAATTTTATTGCTCAATTCAAAATCATAAGTTTTAATTTGAAAAATGTTAAGTACGATTTAAATTAGATTAATATAATTAAATCAAAATACTGAATGATTGTTTAGTAGAATTGTAACTGTATACATCTCAAGTCCTTTTTTTTTTTAAGTCAAAAATGGTTTGTGTATTATTTTTTATTAGTTGATATTTTTCTATTAAAGAATAATTTTAAAAATATAATGCTTGTAGGTTTATTATTGCTGTTTAAAAGAACACAGTTATTGTTGACAATTGATTTTAATAATTATTTTTTTTTATAGACAAAACATAACGTTTAAAATTAAATTAAATTGAATATGTATATATACTTAATTTACATAACAAATAAATAAATATGAATAAAAAGCTTGAAAATACCCTTTGCTAAAAAATAAATTTTCAATGTATTATATAAATAAGTTAATTAGCAATAATACTGTGTATAAAAAAGTATAATATTAAATATGTACCTGTACATGTTTATATTTTTTATAAATATAAAATACTACCTAAATAATTGGTTACAAGCATTGTAAGTATTCTTCAGTTAATGCTTTAAAAGGGTTCAATTAATGAAATATTTGTTTGAAAAATATTTTATTAACCAACAAAAGACTTACGTTGAACATTGAATATTTTTAATCCACTGATGAACATGTTCTTCAGATTGACTTGATATAATATACTTTTTAGTGGGTTCATCTTTAAATGAAAGAGAAAACGAAAATAATGTTCCTGGCATATTACTCTCAAGCCTTACAATAGAATTCTCCAAAACAAAAACACCAGCTGGCTAAAAAAAAAAGATAAAAATTATTTTTTTATTATTCATACATGTAAATTTGAATTACGATTTTACTTTATTATTATTATTAGTATTATAAAACTATTATTACTGAGAATATATTTTACAAAAGCAATAAAAATAAATGAGTAAATACAATTTTTTTACCTGATGTAAATCAACTTGCCCAAAGCCATTTATTTTAAAGTAAAATAAAAGGTTGTACTTAAGTCGAAACCATCTTTCTTTGAAACCTATAATTAATTATAAAAACATTAGTTAAATATGAAAAAAAAAATTGTACACCAACTAGAATAAATTTAATAGTTAAAATGGTTTTATTAGCTATCACATAATACTGTAATAATGATTTCATATATTTACAATATGATATATGTATACTTTTCTCACATATATTAAAACTATAACATAATAAATAAATTTAAATATGCAATATAATATAATATAAAAATTATAAGTAATGAATTACTTTCATTGTTTGTGAAATTTAATAGTATTTATACCGTAGTCTAAATCTTATATTTACTATTAAATTTCTAATAGTTATACTTCTAAAACCTATTATAATTATTATGAGGTTAAGCTTCTATAATGTAATTAGGTATAATAAAGGCCATTACTCCCATCATACATACATAAAAAGTATTAAATTATAACAGCTTAAATGTTAAACAATTGCATAAGTACAATTAAAAAATATAAAATTATAAAACTAATGAATAATTAATATAATTAATGGATCCTACTGAATGCATTTTATATTTTTTTTTTTTTAAATAAATAAATAAAAGCAACCAAATATTGTCAAATTGATCACTGCCCAGAGTTTGAGAAACACTAAATTATGTATGTAATAAGTGAATCAAAACTCATTTGAAGCCTAGTATTTGAAATATTGTAGAAAAGGTACAGCTTATATTAATATATGGTTTTAATTTACTACAAATTGGTAATATTTGAATAACACAAAAAAAAAAACACTTAACATAACAAATCAATAAATCATAATAATCATAATAACATTAGTGACGTTAACTTTGCACAATATGGTACAAAATAAAGTGAGTAGTAGACACTAAACAGTAGTAAAACAGACATTTTAATAATTTATACTCGCCAATAACAATAATTTTTCATACTATTTTAAAATATTAATTACAATTTATCTATTTACTAAAGCTTATAGCTTTAGAGACGGTTCGAACATTTAAATCTTACCGGGGCACCACCCCAGTAGTAAGTGCTTACAAGCCGCCTATGGCTTATATTATGAGTATGATTAAAGATTCATAATGGTAAGAGAAAACCAAATAATGAAATATAATATTATAAAAAGACAAAAAGTATTACTGAGCGTATAAAATAAGTGTGAATGTAATTAAATATTTTAAAAGAAAAATTACAAAAATCTAAAGTACTAATATATAATTTATATAGGTAGCACAAAATTATTACCAAAACTTGATGAATACATTTTTAAAGCAACACAAATTTTAAAAATCACAAATAGTATATAATACCAATTAAAATTTATCGTCATTTTGGAAATACTAGTAAGTAGTATTATCGATACTCAATATTTCAATATTTTCTTAGTACTTTAGCATAAATGGACATACATTTTTATACTATGTATTTATGTTATTTATACCATAATCTTCAAAGATATTGGCACTAAATAAAATTTAATAGAAACTTACTATTATTTACATTTAATTTATAAGTATATAATAAATTATAAGCACCTCTCTAGAAGGACAAACCATAAGAAATAATTAGTTGATACGAGTTAGTATCAATTATGATTCATTTAAATCATTACTTTTGAATCATATTACATGAATCATTTAGGATTTATTATCAATAATTTTGTAACAATTATTGTAAATCAATAATATTATCAAATTTAAAAGTCAGATTCATAAAAATAAAATATGAAAAAATTAGAAAAAACAGTTTAATGCATATTTTTTATGTTTTCAAACAGATAATATTTAAAACACTATTTCATGTAAATAAAGGTATCAATCTTAATCAGACATTTGAGTAAATAAATAAAAATATTTTTCTTGGAATATAATAACAAACACATATAATCAAAATTGGATACCAATCCATGTACCATATTATTTATTTAATCAAATTACAAAATCAGATCTTTTGCTGCGGATATGAATATGGAAAACATGTAATCGTTCAAAAAATGATCAAAAATGTATTCCTAATCCAACCTAATTTGTTTTACAGTTGAAATAAAAATCAGTGTGCTAGAAAACCGATAACAAAGTGTTCAGATCGCAAAGTGAAAACGGTATGTCTAGCACACCTCTGGACGCAGTGATCGTGTTAGTCCGTAAACCATATGCGTTATTCGACAAAACTCGCATTTACCTTTAGAAGGATGTCCGTTGGATAGCTTTGCGTAAGACATTCGTCCTTCGAAAACCGGATTTGAATGGCTGACATGGACCATTTCCTTGTGGTTGAATCGCATAATTTCTACAACGACTGTATTAAACCGAAAACGGAACGAAACAATAGGGTATCCGTAACAGCCGCTCTGGGTACCTACAGATGTTCTGCGAGTACATAAATCAAACCAATAATTGAAATTAGACAGGTTTTTACAAAATAATAATACACTGTTACGCGTTATTAATCGTGGAACAGCAGGTACCTACCTATGTCACTCGGTACGCGTATTGCACATCGTGAATTACGATGGCACATTTGAAAAGCTTTTCATGCGCAATTCTCGCGTTATCTTTTCTGTTGTTATCGTGTAAACGGCCACAGCAGTTATTTATCTCCGACCGCGTAGATAAGGCGGAATAATAATGTATTCTTCTATTATCTGCTACGGGTCGCGCAATGTTCGGGACGAGCGGTGGTCTCTGCACGGATATAATTATAAACTATTCTATGATTATTAATGATGACGTGAAACCGTAATTGATCGTCGCACTGTAAATAGACTGTCCGTGGGTGGGCAGAACCTGGTACAAATCCAAATTGGTCACGTCACGCGCGTACAGACGCTTTAATTTCTTCGGCGTTTCGGACTACGTTAACCAATACGAGACTATTGGTGGACACATTGTTTAACATAAATACAAGACTTTCCGCTAAGTCATCAAAGTATACGTATTGACAACCTAGGCGCAATTCAGTGAAATTGAGTGTGCTTAACGCCCCAAATTTTTTTATATTAATTTACTTTCAAACAGTCATGTATAGAGAAACGGAGTTCTTATCGTTTAATTTTTAATTAAATTATTATTTAAATAATGGGGATGAAAGTTCGTCTTTCGTGACTTTGGTCCTTGGATTTGATACAATAGCGAAATGAGCAGGGGCGTATTTAGACTTACTTCTAGGGAGGAGGGGGCGACTCAAATTTTTTCTTTAATTCAGGCTCAAAATTTACAAGTAAAATTTTTGGTAATATTTATATCAGGTGAATCCTTAATATTTTTGGTTTTTTTTTTTTATATAATTCCGGATCCACTTAGAATGGTCTTTTGTGTAGTTCTTTTTTGCGTTATCTAAATTAGTGTAAAATTTGAAAAGTTTTCAAATGTATTAAATCTATAAAATAAAATGATAACTCATTTCTTTTGTAAAACGATTCTGAGCAAAACATCAGCATAAATATATATCGTTCATATATTTTACCATTTTTAAACTAATTATCGGTAGGTCCATTTTTTTATCAAACTATTTAAAATGTTCTTGTTTGACGAAAGAGAATTTTTTTTCATTAAATATTCAAAACATGCTGTTCTCTATGTATCCAATATAATTATGATTGGATGAACCAATTTTTTAAACAATTAATGTTGGAAATGTATGTATAACAGTCAATTCTGTACAAATCTTATAATAATTTACTTAAACTCTAATAAAATAAAATCTTGAATAACGACTTTTGAAAATGTTTCAGTATCGTTAGATAAATATATGAGTGAGATGTTATTAAATTTTCATGTCATTATATCCAAAAATAAAAATGTAATATTACATAAAAACTTTCAAAAAATAGATGTTTTTCAAAGTTCTATATTAAAACCAAAAGTGCTAAACTATTTTTGAAAATGTTTTCAAATATGAAAAAAAATAATATTTTTAATAAAAAGTAAATGTTATAAGTTCATAGCCACATTACTATTGGAGTTACGACTAAATAACTAACATTTGAAAAGTGAAAGTCTCGTTTACAGAGAATTTTTATCTTTTTTACTCGATTTTCGGCAGTTTTTTCTCACGCCTGAAAAAATTATTGAGATTTTAGAAAAATAACCTCTAAAGCATAACCCTAAACTGATTTTAAATCTATTAACTGATAAATGAAACTTTTGAATCAGTATTTTCATAAGAAAATATTTATAGAAAAAATAAAATAATAAAATTGTAAACCATGAGATTCTTCGCTTTACTCAGAATCTAAAAATTATCATGAATTGAAACATTTGTGTATGCAAGCGGGTAATAATACGTGAAATATTTAGTAAAAATTCAAATATTTCTAAATTTAAATAGTTCTCTTTGGTTTTATATTTTTATAACATATATGCATATATACTCCCCAGTTTTTTCATTGAAATTGTGTCACTGATTGACAAATTAAATGTTTTTTATGTATTATCATAAAAAAAACTAGTATTATTAAATCTATAGTATTCAGTGTAATGTATCAATAAAAAACAACATAAGTTTTCTTTCATATGACATAATCTTGTAATTTTTTTTATAAACATATAGTTAAATAACATGTTTTTTTAGTTAATAAATATACTATTTATTTACAAAAAAGAAAAATTCATAATGTCACAATATATGTATAATCTTAGAACTATACACCTACCACAACTATACACATTCTACCTTGAGATATTACCACTTGAAACGTTAGGAGTGTGGTGCTGTCATAAAAAATTTGATAAAATCACAAAATATCATTTCTGTGATAAAACCATTAGGTATTTGACTATAAAATAAAATGAGAATCTTTTTAGTTTAGAATTTCCATATTTATAAATATAGCCCAATGACGTTCACATAGTTAATGAAATTTAATTTATTGTACTGGTAATCTTGGGGTGGATGGGTAGACGGTGATAATATAGGCCTAAATATATACATTATAGTACAAATTATATAATATATTATTTTATCTAATGTGTGGTAATATCATTAATGGAAACCTGTGGTTGCCACTAGGTACATTTAGAAATTAGAACCCGGATGTAAATCAAACAATTCACAACCGGTTTTTAATATACTGAATAAATATGTATTGAATTGATTTTAGTAATTTTTCATGTATCAATAAAAATATGTTTAAAAAATAGTTATTAAAAATAAAATACTTATCTTTACTGATAATAATACATACAAATTATAGTTTAAGTTGGTTAATAACAAATTAGAGCTAACACATTTTCACTAAATACCATTAATATTTAACAATAATCATTAAAACATTGTTTTCGATCAATATAATAGATTTCAAAACAAAATATATTACATACTATGCATTCATATTATGAGCTTAACTTTTTTGTACTTTTTTCCCAATCTTCATACAGAGTTTTCATATCATTTAAAGCCTCTGTAATACGAACTGCAAATCTATTTGAATCCTATAAGATACCACAGAGTAATTAATAATAGAACTAGTATTCAAAATTAAATGTACATACAGTATGAGGAGAACTCTTTTTGCTCGATATATGGAAGAAAATCAGATTTTCTCCAGCTATAATATAACTAACACCATATCCATCATTGGCTACAGGGCCAAATCCACCACCAGCTGAAATGCAATTAGGAAATTTCTTTAAATCAAACTGAGTAGTCTGTCCATGTGGTGTTTGTGATGTTGATAATCTCCATGGTTCACTCAATACTTGCTGTAAGTAAAATAATTAACTTAGTATATTTATTAAATGATTAGTAACCTTTCACAATTTATTATACTCAACAAGTTTAATTTTGTGGCACATAATTATTAATAGATAATTAGTATACACAAATTTTATTATTTTACTAAATATACACTTATTGTTCATACTTACATTTAAGAATGGCGATTCCACTTCTAAATACTTTGAAACTACATACAAACAAAACAAATGCCTGTCAATTCCTTTTCCACACATGGCATCTTGATAACCTCTCTGGTGAGTTGCACAAGCTTCTCTCAATAGAGTAATACGTTCATTTAACTATTCACAGATTAAACATTTAAATTTTTTTTTTTTTTTTTATTTAGGAAATAAATAAATAAATTAACTAACACTGATATTTGGATCCAACATCGATTTCACCCAAGCTGATGATTGTAGAGTACAAGGTCTAACAGTCTCAGTCCTACCCTCTCTAAATAGTCTGGTCATTGAAGCTTCATATGTCAAACTAAATTTACCAGCATCCTATAGAATTACATTCAAATTAGTATTTAAAAAACTTCTATTCTAACTTTTTCATTTTACAGTATATTATTATTTTATTATTCAAAAATACTTATTAATTACTCTATAATATGCCAGTTGAAGTGCCATTTGAATAAATGCATCAGGACTGACTCTAGCTGTTTTCATAAATCCTTTGCCATAGGTATTGAATACCAAAATACGAAGATCAACATCATTTAATAATTCTAAGGAAACCTAAAATAACAATAACACAATGTAAATAAATTCAAGCAACTGAAATAAATTGTCAATAAAGGTTACTTCATATGATTTTTCAATAGCTTCTAATACTGGTTCTAAATTCCATTGAAGTCTAATTGGTTTTGGTGGTTCAATTTCAGGTACACCTTTTACGTGTCCATTTTCTTGATATCTTCATTTTCAAAAAAAAAATCATAAATATTACATGATTTTATCACATAATGAATATCTAACATTTATTAATAATAAATTTCTTAAAATTATATAAAATGATTGAGTAAGTGAATACATTTGATATTAAATGTTGTTAAAATATATTACATGATATATGAATTTATGAAAACCATATACCACTCAGTGGCGCCGAACTTGGAATTCAAGTCTGGTCATGACCAGAATATATTTTTAGGATGGCGAGCGGTGTCATGATAGATTATTATACAAGTAATATGTGAATTGATCCAAGTAACTTATACATTATAATACTGCCCATTAACTAATTACTATTTAAGATATTTAAGTACCTAAATGCTATAATAAATACTAAAAAAGGTTAAACATTTTTGGGAGGGGTGAACTCCCAACCCCTCAAAGTATGTCCTTAGGTGGGAGTGGGTTGTAAGTTGGAAATTGGGTGGCTACTGACCAGACCATTCAACATTTTGTTCGGCGCTACTGCTGCCAATTTATGAATAGAATATTAAGGTAAATTGCTAAGGAACCCATCCATCATGAATTACTATTCAAACATAATGAGTGAAATGTAAGTAAATATATCGAAGTATATAATAAGTTGAACAATTTTAATTTTCTCAACATGTATATATTTTGTAGTTGGAAATCCGTGCTCTGAACATTTAATTTAATATCTTACTAGATGTAATATTGGAGTAAGTACCTAAAAAAGTTAATTTATTCAATATCTGACCATTTTTAGGGCGCCATTAAAAATTTCAATTGCTAGGAACTTGTATTAAATTTTAACCTATAACCATTTATAATTACTCTTAGGGCTTAAAATTTATTTTTTATGGCTAGGAAAAATAATATAATTAACTAACAGATACAATTATTGTTTCAGATATTTGTAATAAGTGACTTATTTATAATTCATCTTTTATTTTTCAAATTAAATGAATCATCATTGTTCTCAAACGTGTATTAAAAAACATGACAAAGTCTTACAATTAAAACCTGTGTCTTGTCAAGTTTTAAATTACAAGCAAATTCATACAAATAATAATTTATAATATCGCAGTTAAATATTGTTATCAAAATAGTTGTTATTAATCTAAAGCTCATCTATTTGGTTGCTAGTCTATAGTTTTACATTTTATGACCCTTAACATTTCAAACATTTTCCATTCAGTAAAAAATTCAAGTTTAGTTGTTCACAAATTATTGGAAAAAGATAGTGGGGTTAGATTGACTCACTAATACTACAAATATATCTGTTGCTAACATTAAGTTATTTAAACTTACAAAAATTACTTAAATTCTTAAACATAAAATTAATAATTCAAACAATTGAATTACTCTTGATATGTCTCAATTTTAACTTAATGTATATGTTAATAAACAAAATATGTGATTACAAAATTACATAACCTTCAACAAGTTCAAAAACCACTACAATCGTAGAAACGAAAATAACCCAATTCTACAAACATGACATTATAAATTCTCAGGCAATCAATTCAATCAATATGTAGCATTGTAGCCTAGAGAAACAACTTTTTGATACCTCAAATACAGACGAATGATGGTAAATGGATGGATTCCTTAAAAATAAATAGTATGCATAAAAATAATTACAGTGGGTTAGTTAATTATTTAGATTATTACCCTAATACTAGATCGCCGCAAAGAAAATGTTCCCATAAATGACCCATAACCGGTGCATCTGCCCTGTCATCAATAAAAACAATAACTAAATAATAAATTATTTAAAAGCTGCTTTATATTTTATGATGCCTCATATTATTTATGTTTATTAAAATATTTTAGTACATCAATGAAATTATTAATACAAAGGTTAAATGATAATTCAATGATAATGTTTTGAATTTGTAATTTATTAAAAATATATAATGGTAAGTATGAATAATTATGACATGCATTTCTAAATTTACCCAGACTAAATATGAATAACTGTTGTTGCTCAAAAGAAGTACCATGACCTTAAAACATTATACAAATATTCCCAGCGAGCAAAATTAGAAATATACAAATACATTTAATGATTTATTATAACCAAATTATAAGACAGTAACCATTAAATTACCCAGAATATGCGGCTTCATTAAAAATTATGAACTCCCAAAGATGAGACATAACAGCGGCATCAGCCCTGTAACAATGCTCATTCAATGCAAATTCAAAACAATATTTGAAATCAAAATTATACATTAAATGTGTATTTAAGACTATTTATTTAAGTCTGTGAAATACAACACACACACACACACGTTTTAATTGTGAAATTGTTAACATATTCAACTAAAAAAACACTCACCAGGAATGCTCAGCATTAAAACCAACCTATAAAAAAAAAAGTATTAGTTTCAAATTATTTGTCAGTTAAAATTACAGTTAATAAAAGTTTTTACTCTTCCATTCGAGCCAATACAGAGAGTAAATGATTTATCAAACCATCGGTCATATCCTTTACCAGTCATTAATATTCTTCCAAACTCATCCAATTTCTTTGAGTTTTCCTAAAAGTACAGTGAAAACAAATTAATCAATTTAAAATTATTGGGTAATGAAATCAGCAGTATCCCAATAGTATTTCATTAAATAACTTACAGGATCATATTCATATGGAACCTCATCTAATACAACTACAAAGGCGGCTTTTTCAATAGCATCTAAACTTTGTCGATTTATGCCCTTAAAAAAGAATTTAGTACGTGTATTTGCCCAGTGTGTTCGATCAGCAGCTGTCAAAGCAGCTACTTTTTCTTCTCCAACATATGGTTTATCTGTATTCTTGAGAATTGATTGTATTTGTCTAAATAATAAAATAACATTTTTTTAAAATACTAACAAAATGAATTACCTTATAAAAATAATATTTACACTTCAATTTCACAAGGATGAAGTATACGATTTTGACTATAGATAATGACTTTGAAATATCTTCCAGCATGATACACAACAATGTGTCTACTATCGTTATAATGAACTATTTTATCACTTACAGCCCCAGGAACACGTGTAGTATTAAATATCCTTTCATATTGCCATGAACATAAAGGAACCATTCCTTGAACTCGTATCTAAAATTATATAAAAATGAATACATTGCCCAATATATTGTAATACATTATAAAAAGAAAATTGTTTTAATACTGGTTCAAGCTCTTGACGTTCAATAAGCCTTCTATATTGCAAACACTGCCAAATTATCATTGCAGCACGGGCAGATTGAATAGATGTTGAATGTAACATTATAGCATCAGTGCCATAAAAATTTGAATTAACTATTAAAGGTGTTCTACTTCTTAAATAGACATATTCTTCCCACCAATCCGATACATAATTACTCGACCACCTATTATTAAAATTGACAAGAAATGCATTTAAACTCATTTATAAAATATTTATAATTATTTTTACTTAAATAATTTAAATTTGAAAATATATATTAATATAAAATAGAAAAAAAGTGTAACTAGGAATCAATCAAAGTACTATTTTATATATATATATATATAAATATATATATTATATAATGAATGTAAAATTTTCTAGCTGTCTAATTTTAAAAATAAAATGTATTGTATATCCTGTAAAATATTTATACACTAAAATTAAAATACCTGAGAAAATTATATTATATTCATGAGTAATTGTAAAATAATTAATAATAAAATTATTGATATTATTAATTATAAAATATTAAAATGGATTTAAATTGTCTTATTTATATACATATCAAACAATTTTTTTTATTATCTTTTTCTATAAGTATTAAAATGTATCATTGTTTTAACATTAAAATAATCATTTTAATAAAACAATATATCTAAATATAACAATTAACTATATAAAATGAATAACAACTAATCAAACCTAATTAATTGAGAAATAATTTTAATTTAATCTTTTTTCTTTACATAATTTAATCATTAGGTTATTAAAATTATCTATTTAAAATATAAAAAAACAATTATATAACAACATAAAAATTAGACTGATAAGATACATTGAAAAATCATACATACAATGAATAATTATTAAAAGTAAAAAAAACATAACATAAAATATATAATAAATAAAAAATAAAATAATTTAATTAATAATTAATGAATAAATACCATGATTTCAACCATAAGTATCGCTGAAGCTTAACTGCAATACCATTTTCAAATTCATTAGCTAACTTTACCATACTTTCATATTCTGTATCATTCATTAATGGACGGACACTGTTCAAATACTATAACAATATAAAAGATTAAAAAATAATACATTAAATATAAAATAATAAACCATACTTAATAAAATATGCATATAATATTACCCTTTTCATAGTATCCTTAACTGCAGGCAGAGGAAGTTTTGGTAAAGAACCTTGATAACTATAAAGTAATGGTTTACTTTTAGAAGAAAGTAATTTTACGCCTATACTCCAAAGTTTAGTAGTCAAAGACACTTTTTTTCCTCCTCTGCTTTCATACATCCAGCCTATGTATGTAACAGATACATTAATAATATATTATCTTTATATTAGATTACAAAATATAGGTTTAAATAAATACCTTTGTACATCAACAGGAGCTTAAATGTATATCTTATAATGTAAATTAAAATCAACCAAAATACCAAGGATAAAATAAAACAAGAAACTAGATGCCATATAAATGATGTTCTAAAAATAAAAAAAATAATTTATAATATATTCAATTAAGTACATTATAAATTGAAAATGATAATTTACTTACCCCGGTAAATACTGTAATATAACATCAGTACATTTTACAAAGCTATTATTTCCATAACGAAGAGCAAGTACAATACCCATCATAGCCCAAAGACTTTGTAATGGTGCTGGGAAAATTCCATTCCGTACATTATTCTAAAATGTAAGTGTTTTAAAAAATTATAAATTTTAAAGTAATATACAAATACTAAAACGAGTACTAAAATTATATACTTTAAATCTAGCTAAACGTTTTTTCCAAGAACGAATTCCAGATGCCCAAACTAAATGAAGCACTTCACGATCAAAATTTACATCCCAACCTTCGTGAGTGATAGAAAATGAAAATGCAACTGCTGAATGGGCTTCAGCCATCTTGCTTACAATTCTATAAAGTTATATTCAATTATTATTAAATTATAAAATACATACAATTATTTTTATTTTATACTGCCTATAGTAGAATTTTTCAAACACAAAAATGAATTAAAATGCATTGCCAATATATATCATTTTTTTTTTTTTTTTTTTTAAATTTTTCGAAACAAATGAAATTAACTGAAAATATTTTTACAATGTCTTAATCTTTAAACAACAAAAACAAGGTAAGCAACTTAAATCATTATTTTGGTTAGGTTAGTCAACTAGACTAGCCTTGTAACTTTATCAAGGTTTTTTTTGTTTATAGTTTTTATTAGTAAATTTTATGTTAATGCTACTATACAATACATCTTTCAGTTCTTTTAAATTAAAACAATTTAATTGAAATCTTATACTTATTTACACTTATTAATAATATTTATAGTTAATGATATTATTAATTATTTAGAACAGCATATTTTATAAACCATTTAAATAATAATACAAAAATTACAATTCTACATTGGTAATTTTTAATAGTGTTTAATACATATAGACTTGAATAATATTCTAAGCTTTTCTTACAAATAAAATAACAAGTATAATAACTTTCATATAAATTTAGATTGATGTTAAACTGATGAGCAACATTTTTATAGTAATAATTCTCAATTTGAAAAATAACAATAATATGTAACTGTAATTGAAAAATAATAAAAGAGCTAATTTCAATACATGGTTATTTTATTATCTTGAAAATTATTTTTATTTATTCATTTGGTAGATTAAGAACCCTAAAATAAAATCTAAGATCTATATCATAGCAGTTTTAATTGAAATCAAAAAGTGAAATAAACATTAGCCCTTAGCTATATGCATCTAAATAAATTATAATGAAGTATTTTACTTTGTACATAACTCAGTGATATTTGTTTATTATTAATGAAAATACGAATCTCTAAAAAATAAACAATTGTCATACACATCAATAAAGACAATTATAAAGCAACCCTGAAAAAATAGTTAATCCAGTAGGCTCTACAACTACATAACAAAAAAAAAAAATCGCATTTATTATAATAACATAAATAGGTCACCTGTAAGTAGTTATGTGTTTGAGACACACATAATTAAAAATTATTAATAACAAACAACTAGAACCTAAGTATTGATGTTATGTAAATTAATTTGGTTGAAGAAAAAAACAATAGGTTTAACTTTGATTTAAAATTCAAAACTCGAATAAGAAAAATAACGAAATCGACATCATGAAATATTAATGATGAATTTAAATTGATGTCTAAAAATGCGCGTATATATACTTTATACAAAGTTTTTGGAAGGTTGATTGCAAATTAGAAATACGATTGCAGTAAAGAGTCCATTGGTGTTGTAGTCCTAACACCCGTAGAAGTGTGTATAAAATAAAAAATCTAATTTTATACTTAAATAGAATCTATACGACCAGCGATACAAACGTACGCGTGTACATAAATTATATATCTAAGAACAAGTTTAGGAATTGATTTTCACGGTTTTTTCCGCCGAATGAGTCGACCGGCTGTGGGAAAATACTGTCGAACCCCGCGGGGCACGCGTTCGATCCGTTCTGATTGATAGTGCCATAATGTACAACTGTTGACGCAGTGGCGTATACAGAAAATATTTTCGGGAGAGACTACTATTGACAAAGTTAAATTACCACTACTATCTAAGAATTACTAACAAGACACAATAGGTACTTATCTACATTTCATTTACAGAATGTACCAAAACGATTTGACGTTGGACCCAAATTCTAAATAAGCATAGAGCACCATTAAAATATAACATACGTTTAGAATAATTTTTAAGTTTTTTAAAACGTTTCGAGGGGGGGGGGGGCTGTAGCCCACTAGGACCCCCCCCCTTATATACGCCACTGCGTTGACGTACTACTGCGACGTCAAGTGACGTATCAAGACGTGCGTTTTGTAAAAAAAATATTGCAGCCGTACGGTCGGGGCACCGAAATGTTGAAAAAACAAACGAATAAAAAAATACGTACGTTTACGAACACGCAATTTGTACCTATGCGGACAAACAACAACTGTTGGACGCGACCGCTTCAGATTGTCATCGACGCGCGATTTCAGTTCTCCTAGCGACGACGTCGGACAACATCCATTTGATCGCGGCCGCGGGACGACATCGCGGGGAATCGAAGCAAAACGGGAAAGAGAAAGTGGCGTGAAACGATCCGAAGAACAATACGCGACGGCCAAAACGCGGACGACCGTACACAACACCTGTCAGAGCACGGCAAACGTACAGGGAATACTGAAAACGACTGCGGAACCGATCCGGGGCACGACTACGAAGAGGTACCGTCGATAGCGGTTATCAACGGTGGCGCTATCAACGCCCGTCGCGATCCCGTATAATGGCGCCATCTATTTTGCGCGTCCAGAAAAGTTGATCGTTTCCAATGGTTTATTTTCGGGCGCGTGCCGAGGGCAACGCGAAATCAACACCCGGTCGCGGTGCACGGAAAACATGAAAACGACGACTATCCTCGGCGCATTTATTCCACACACCCCGAATCGATTACATTTATCGTGAAAATATTTTACACGTAATATCTGGGTGCTATATGTCGCGAAACTATTGACTAATTTAACATCCAAGTACAAATTGTCCGCAGTTCCTACAAAATAATTGAATACTATATGAAAGAAGAATATCCTTTCGTTACTTGACGTAAACGTATCGCCAACTCTGTATAGGTTAGCAGAATCCGAGAATAGAGACGTTCAATGTTTCACACCACCTTTACCAGTGGCGTAGCAAGGGTATGGCGGACTGTGCCTACGACAGGGGCGCGAATTGCAAAGCGTCGTCAAGTTGTGCAAAAATCGCATTTTTATCCTACAATCAAATCGTAATTTTTACATTGTACTCTTTGAAATACCTAGATGTGGTCTGTTTGTACACACTGCGTGTGAATTTAATGATGGAATTATGATAATAGCACAAGGACATTTAAATAAAAAATTTCATATGAAGAAATTATCGATGAATTTGCTAATCATAAACCGAAAATTCCAAATTTTCGAAGTTTAAAATTAACATCGTAAAAAGTATAAATTATATACTTAAAAATAGTAGTAAAATTAAAGATTAAAAAAATTTCGTGACATCAAATTTTAATTGATTGAGAAGTGTATTTTCCTAAGCTTGCCAGGGGCGCTAGCCAGTCTACCTACGCCACTGACCCTTACGTTCACGTTCGTACTTCGAAATTCATGATTGCATCTATCAAATATGTACAAATTAACACGATTATAAAATACGAACATTTTAAGCGTTTACAAATTTTAATCGAAAAACAGATATAGTATGTTCAACGAATATACGAAATATTACTATATAAATTAAAAATTAATCAAGTAAAAGCCATACATAACAGGGAAAATTTTATTTTCTATTGCATGAAAAACATTAAATACATCACTCTGTGAATTTAGGCAGATTCAAATCATCAAATACATTGTTTTGATGTAAAATATTAAGGAAGAAAAAAAATGGGCTCCACAAAGGCGACAGTGAGGCACAAAAGTGGCTACGTAGCCTTAGAAGTACAACAAGAGATGGAAATGAGCTTTGTCTTTTTCATTGTCACGATTTTCAAGACTCTCAAAGTTACACGTTATCGCAGTCATTTATATACTAATTTATTCATATCTTTATTTCATAGTTTATGGTTTTGTATAATTCATAAAATTTGTTTATTTCAGCTATTAGTTAGTATAATACGGGTATAAAGTTATGTATTTGTTATTCAGTAAATATTTAAAAAGTATATATCTCACAAAAAATGCCATATAAAAAGAAAATAAAATCTACTTAGTCATTATCAAATTTTATGTTAACACTGGGGCACTATGAAAAACAAGACTTCAACATTTTTTCAATCAAAATGAAAAAAATCGATGGCACACTAGCAAAAATGTATCATATACTTATATCTTATATAACTTACACATTTCGTTAACCCAAGGAATTCGCACATGAATTTTACATCACGTGCATCACACATATATATATATATATATATATATATATATATATATATATATAACAGACATCATGATCCATGATGTTTTATACCATATACGAGTATATTTTGATCTATGTAGAAGACGAATATTTAACTAGGATCCATGTATAATATTTTTTTACGGATATAGGGTAAGTACAAAGAAATATTGCTATATATTTATAAGCTGGACGACTAAGTATTAATTCACTGCAACGCAGACTGCTCTTTTTCAGTTCCCAAAATAGAAAAAATATAAGAATTACAATTTTTAATCAAATATCAACAGCATACTGTGACATAAACAGTAGACAGTTATTGACTATAGATAGTAGACATGTATCATTAGTTGTTATCTAACTACCACTAACAGTTAAAATGTTAGATACAAAATGCTTGTCAAAATAATACTTACAAAGATTTATAATATTATTATGACAAGTACTTTTTATAGCTAGGGGCAGTACATTTTATGTTGCCTTAAGCCAGCAAAATCGTAAACATGCCATGACCCATATCAAATTAATGATTATTATTAAGGTTGAACATTAACATTTCGAATAATTGTCGTATTTGTAAAATATTATTCAATATAACTTGGTAATATATGTGTATTACCTACCTGTTAAATATAAATACAAAACAATACACCTAATATTGGTTATAATCTAATATCTATAATGCAGTTGTAGTACAATGACGTGTGGATGTACACGCATTTAAACATAATATCTACGTAGAAACAGAATTTTTTCATTTTACTTTGTATCATTTAACAGTATTTATTTCAGTACAACAAGTAATAACAATAAACATGTTTATCTAGTAGAAGAATTGATAAATATATGATCTTGCAAGTATCATAAATGATTAGTCTATGTTTTTTTAGAAAAGTAATTTCATTTTTTTTTTTTTTTTATGTCATAGTTATAAATTCATAGACATTTATTTATTTTCCTAACTTGATATAATTAACAGTTAATTTTTATGTTAATTTTACTGTATAATTATATCTAAATTTAAAACAAATGTTATAGTCGTTTGTATAAATAAATAGTAAATACATAGGTCATTTTAAATTAATTACATAAAATGGTTTAATGACGTCAAGTTATATTACTCAATCAAAAAACAATACTGTTGACGATAAAAAATACACATTCAAATACAGTTTACGCATTCGTAATATATATATACAAACAACACTATGATGAAATTATAATTTTCTCATCAATGACGTATTTACGATTATTCCTAGAGGAACGGGGTATCCACTTAGTAATTACTATAACAACATTATTAATATAGTTTTATTTATAGCGTATTTTAATCAATATAAATAAAATATGGAAATAACATTTACTCTTTCTACTTTTAAAAATGATAAATATTAATAAAAGACAAAATTACTATTGTATACTACTTATATATATATATATATATATATATATATATATATATATACAAAGAAAAAGATCATGAAGGGATTCACCCTCCACCAACCAGGCTCTTTTCATTAGTACGTCACTACTTGCCGCACCAAATAGCAGTACAGAATATGTTACCAAGAGTTCTTATTTTATATACAATATATTTTCAAAATATATAATTACATTTAACTATTTCGTATACACTCTGATTAAGCCTTTGAAACCGGTCAGTTATAGATTTCTATCAATATTTATTTATGAAATTCAATAACATTTTGCGTTTTATATATTTTATTCAATTAAGAATAAATTAATTTAGATAGTAAAATTATTCCTTACGGTACGGATTCCGTTATTCGGACGGGTTCTTTCTTGGGAAATTTCTATTGTGCATTTAATATAAATTAATAATTTTAATTTATTTTATTGTAGTTAAAATTCATCATCGTATTTAATTAAAAAGTATATATTACAATGCATCAATTATCCATTATTTTATTACAATTCATATTATGTTATAATTGATTAAAGTATACTTCTTTAATAGATGATTTAAATTTAAGCATTATATTCATAAATTGTCTACATTATTTTATTTATTTATATTCATGTTTTACTACAACTGCCCTGTGTAACTATTTTTTAAATTAACTCGTGTTTTCAGAGCTAATAATTCTCATATAGCGATATACAAAGTAGAGTAGGCCATGGGAATAGGTACAAAAATAAATATACATAATTCAGTATATTTTAGACGCACAAACATTTTATTAGTATTTTATTATATGTAAATAAGCGTCATTTAATTTTTTTTTTAATAATATCAGGCATATGATACTCAAATTATTTGTAGCATCAAGCAAGTTCAAAAACTTTAAATTAATGCTCTGAAGAAATTCTTCATTAATTATTGAAATGTCCGCTCTAATCTTATCCTTAATGGTCATCCAAGGTGTGAGGTTTTGATTTATAAACACGTCTTAAGATATCTCCAAAGAAAAAAGTCGTATACCGTCAAGTCAGGTGACTATATGAGGTCAATGCACAATCCCAAATTGTAAGATGCGGTGACCGAGGAACATCTAACGTACGACATTCATTGACAATGCAATGGGTGCCCCATCTTGTTGAAATCAAACATTCATCGGATTGATGGTTTGCCTTTATCTGCGCTACTCTGTTTTCAAAAAGTTAAGCTAGTCAATGTAACTGGCACTATTGACGGTCATATTATTTTCTTGTTCCTCATAAAAATAAGGACCGATGATTTACTTTTTTGAAACAGTACATCCAAAAGTTACTAACACTCCAATGTACCACAGTGACAAATATACGGCATTATCTGATGGATCAAATGGGTTCATTTAAAACTTTCTACTCCCATTAAACGTAAAGAAACCCTATCCGTTTTTTGCTCTTCTCCCGTGCCCCACTCTGTATACTGACCAAATTATACTTAGGAGTTATTGATGTAAAGTTTTGATAGGTAGAACACACGAATAAATAAAAATAATAAATAATCAAAAACATTACAATAGATCACTAATGTAAAGTGTAACATTGTAACATTACCATATATTATATTTGTAATTTATTTACATTGAGGATGAGAAGCAAACGAAAATAAATCTCCCCGAAGCGTGAGTTTCCTGAAACCGAAAATGTATCGATAACGATAAAATATTACTTTGTAGACCTTGGATGACGAAAACAATGAAGTAGCAATTGTCTACCATTACTCACAAATAATATAACTTATTACTTTATTAGTAATTTTCCTGAGGCATCAACATTTTGAAATGATTAATTGACAGTTAGAAATAAAAATATATGCGTGACTTCTAACCTATGATCTACCACGAATATTTATTTAATTTATAACGGTTATGATTTTTACTTTCGTTCTGTACAGCTTACCGATTTACTGTCAGACACTACATTTTTGCATACTTATGACTTTGTTTTTCATTAAATCAACAAATGTTTGTACTCGATACAGTTGGTTAAAGGTCACGTTATTTTGAATACCTAAAGAAGACGTGTATTCGTAATGAATAAGTGTAGGGTATAATTCGTTGGTTTTAATGAAATAATATTTCTTGAAACATTCAATTTTATAATTCACACATTCAACGATGACCGTGGTTTATGAAATAAAGTAACAAAATAAGCCAAATAAAAGGATAAGCCATAGGGATTAATTTCTTAAAAGGTATAACATTATTTATAATGTTATTAAAATGTTGTTAAATAAATAATGTTTATTATAAATATAACATTATTGGATAAGAAATAAGACAAATAAGATATGAACTGGAGTATAATTTTAAAATTAGCTTTTTTTAAGTAAATATGAATAAAATTTTCAATTATAATCATAAATAATATATACATAATTATTTTTTTGTTTAAGTTCAAAATCGTTACAACTTATGGCTGATTATTTTACGCTTATTATATAAATGTTGAATTATTAAATTTGTATAAAGCTAAATAATTAACCTTATAATATTTACTGTATATGATTGATTTAGGTTTTATGGTTAATAATATTTCATTCGACTATAACATTATTAAAGTAAACCTAGATTTTAAAACCTATTGATCTATATTTCATTATTTTTAACATAAGCTTGTAATTATAATACAATTAAGTTAACTGAACCATTGCAACATATTTATTGTACACAATCGTTCAAATTAATTAAATTCGAAATGTGACATTTTAAACAACCAAATATGAACATAATATTTCCTGCTTTTGACATAAATCTCATCCGATACGGTTCTGCGGCTGGAAATAATGGATATAATATTATTATGGTCAGCAGATTTTGTAAACAGATTAATTTAAAAATGTATTATAAATACTCATGAAACTTCAAAAAATCAAACATTAGTCATGGATACATTGAACGTAGATAGGTCTTATGGTATTGAAGATTATAGTCCTTCGAGAAGCGGGTAAGTAACCAATATATTATATTTGACTTATCGTAATACAATTATTTTTCTTATCTTCATAAAACCTTTTTGTTCATTATTATTTTTTATTAAAAACTTAAGCATTTAAAAGTTATCTTGGTATGCTATACTATTAGAAGAAAATTTATATAGTTGAACATATGTCTTTTTATTATGTATTGATGGATATTAAAAATACATGCCATCAAGCTTGGATCCAGAAAATTTCACAAGGGGCTCAAAAAAAAAAAAAGTCCTATAATTACCTTTCATTTATTAGTGCTAAGTATACTTTTCAAATAGTATATCTTGTTGATTGTAAAAAAAAAAAATAATAATAATAATCTATTCATTTTTTCAGTTTAGGCCTGGAACCGTCGACATTAATATCGGTGCTGGCGTTCTTCGCATTTCTTTTACATGCCCTTTTAATACTGCTCATACCAACGCTAAAATCGTTTTTCGCTGGACCGTTCTTCGGTCATGGATACGGCAATGGGATTGGCTATGGAAGCGGTTTCAACGGTGGATTCGGCGGACAAGTGCTGGGTGGCGGTGGTTTCAACAACGGTTTCGGCGGCGGTTTCGGCAGCGGTTTCGGGTATGGGGCTATACCGTCCATACTTGGTGGCGTCAACGGCATTTTAGGCACAGGCTTATTGGGCACAACGGGTCTATTGGGCACAGGATTGTCAGGACTCTTTGGTCCGGGAGTGGCTGGCTTAGGCGTCGCAGCGCCTGCAGCTGCGGCAGCGGGAGGGACGTCGAACACCCGTGTCAGAAGTCACGACGGTCAGACGATTGGCGACGAAGATACTCAAAGATGGCAGTCCGGTGACAATGACGAACAAGTGAGTGAGAATGAATATATATAATTGAAGTATAAATATAAAACGGTTTAAAACAGAACTATCGGCCAACGGTTCAAGGCACGCGAATGTGCTCCGTCGGACTAGTAAAACAAACGAAAATATAATGAATCGTTTTCAGGTTAAACCCGTTGCAGAAGTAGTCGAATCGATGGGTCGAAACACTCGAAAGATAAACACGAACAAACTGCAACGTAAATGTTATTTTTATTTTTGTTTACCAGGTAAAATTAAATTTGATCATATGTTGGTTTTAAAAGAACATAAATTATAATATTAGAATAAGTAGGACAACGAGCTCTTAACATAATTATATCAACGTATAGGTGTACTGAACTCCGAAATAAATACTAAATAGTAAATGCAGACAATACCACAGTGAGTGTAAAAGATCCAATCATCAAAATATATTTTTAATTACCAAAAATAAATTTTAGTTTTTGCTGATATATTAGATTAATTACAGATTAATAATTACACACCTGAGCTAAAATTTAACCAATTTGCTAGAAATAAATTGATATACTTCATTTATGCATCAGCATTTTTTGAGCGCCAAATAAAATTTCAATTCATATAAGTTATACAAATCTTATAAACTATTTTTTTAATAAATATCATTCATAAAAATGATCGATTATACTAAATAACTATTGTATTTAAATAACACATCGATCATTATCAATAATAGTCAATAAGTAATTTACGAAATTTGTTTAGTACTTGTAATAGTTGTAAAAATTTAATTAATTTCTTAATTGTAGATAATTTATTTATTTGGAAATATGTTCAGAGGTAGAAGTTTTTTGTTTGTTTTCATTAATAATAATGAATAAGCTCTTTGATTTGTACGTAAGCTTTAAAAAACAATTAGTAATATGTTTATTTATTATGTTTTTTTTTTATATATTTAATTTACATAACATGCAATATTTTAAATTTAGTATGTTTTTTCTAAGTAGGATTAAGAATTAATAAACTACTATAGCATTAATTATTATTATTATTCATATGGATTAAACGGAAAATCAATATTATACCATCAAATTGAATAAATATAGCGTAAATATAGCGTGAGGTATAAATGTCACCCATAGCCTTTTTTTATTTTTGTAGGTATATAATTTTATATCAACTAAAATTATAAATATTAATTAATTGGCATGAGAATGATAATTACCCAAAGGCTATGAATAAAAATAAGTCCACATGGTCTGTGAATTGAACCGAGAAATATATTACCAAAGATTGAATTGTTAAGACATTTTATTTTTCATAACCATCCCCTTCTTTCCTATCACTCAGTGTTACTATATTATACGAAGAATATATTTTAACTAAACACAAATTACTCCTTAAAAACTGACTAAATAAAAATAAAATCATAAATATTTATGTATATATCATATTATTATGTATGTATACAATATCTATTTTTAAATCTTTACTTATTTTTAAAAAATTAGCAAAAATCATTTTTGTTCGTGTATGTAGCAAAATGATACTTGTCGTGAAGAAAAATTGTATAATAACTGTACAATTCTATGAGTGTAAATGAAAGAAAATACTGAAATATATACTGAGACAAAATCAAATAACAAAACTTTATATTACATCTCTGCATTGTTGTATCACGTATTCATATTCATTTAGAATAAGATAAATAACGTAATTTACGTAATAAATGAATTAAAACATATATTAAACATGTATATTAATTTTGGTTTTATCAGTATTACTTATTGTGACACTCTTTTTTATTTTCTTTTTTATACAAACAATATTTCATTCGTTTTGGCTAGATTTGGCAGTATAATAAACCTAAATATTATATTTGGTTAAATGTTAAGATTTAATACTCAATGTACCCACCTATGTTAGTATGTTACATATTGATTCAAAACTATTCAAGTCATTGGACTTTAGCAGTATAAACTATAGTCCCTTGATTGAAATGACTTCACTTACAGCGTATGTGCAATCCATGAGTAAATTTTTACCTGATCCCTACTCATCATTACGGTGGTCGTAAATCATTTTCGGATTACGAACAATCAAAAATAATACGTTTAAGCGGTGAAAGAAAATAGTTTGGCTGCGCATTGCGTGACAGACGACGGACAACAGTCTGAAGGAATAAGATCAAATTATGATGACATGGTACGTTACACAGATTTTAAAATTACGACAAATAGATACTATTAAAAAATACATTCCTCGCTTCGTACGGAGTCTGATAGTTTCAGAGGAGAAAAAAAAGAGTACTTAACAGACCGTATCAATTCGACATTCATATTTTGTTATATAAGTTGTATATAAATTTTAACATACGAATACAACTGCATTATATTCCATATTTATAAGTATAAAATAATAATATAAATATACTTAGTGTACGTCATATACTCGTTATAGAGTAGACCAACTCGTGAATGGTCCGTATAGCTGTTCTGCGGTTAGGTAATGTTAAAAGATAACCGCTATAACATTACAGCTGTATCATTAAATCACATTAGCAATATTACGATTACTTAACACTAAAAACTTAAAAAAAATTAAGCCTAAAAAATTTTCTTTACAAAAATGTTTACATAACCAAAATTTCTTTTCTGTTTTTATTCGCGTATTGTATGTAATGTCGAATCCGACGTTCACTCGATCTCGTACTCCTCTAATAACTATCATAATTCGAAAATTGTACATAATACTGATGATTTAGTTGATCTCGATTATAGTATAGACCCTTATGTCTGCATGTCCTCACATCACAATGATTTCTGATTGAGCGTTTAAAGTGGATATTAGGAATAAAAGTAACCGGGAAAAAAGTCCCCGTTGAAAAAGTCCCCGGTAAAAAAATTCCACGGAAAAAAAGCTCCCGGAAAAAAAGTCTCCAAATTAATAATTGATTTAAATTCAGTCTTTTATGCACAAACAAAATAAAATATACAATAACGTATAATATAATTATATAATTTATTATAATAATATAATAATATAACATAATAACATCTTAAACATCTATAATATTATTTAAAAAATATAAGAATGCAATTATTCAGATATAAAAAATCTCTTTCTTATATTTTGACCTATTTGCTTTAAAAAATTAGAAATATCTGTAGATTTGTCCCCATCAATACGCTAACATAAAATGTTCAATCGAAATTCAGTTCAAATTTTTTTACCAGCTTTTGTTTTTTTCCAATTAATTTCTCCTACTTCAGCCAATGCCATTCTTGCCTTGTCCATTCCAACTTCTTGACGCATTTTTGTTAGTAATTTCCAAATACTGGGATGTTTAATACCGCCGAGATGGGAAAACCTATTGTTCTAGCCCTCGCAAGCAATATTAGTTCTGTGCGATTGTCAACCAAATTTATTTTATAAATAAAATAACAAGTATAATGGAAATATCGTTTTATTTATACTGTAACAAGAGACTTTATTCCTAGGGACTTTTTTTTCCAAAGGACCTTTTTACCGGGGATTTTTTCACCGGGGACTTTTTTCCGTTCATCTTTAGAGTGTTAGGATTCATAACGCATCTGTCTAAATACTTCAAACTACTAAATTCTTCATATTGCGCTTAAGTTCGTCTGGTTTTATAATATGGATATCTTATACTGCTTTTGATTCTGCTTTTCTTAGAACGCAGATTTTTAAGAATAGTTTATATTGTGTTAGGCATTCCCCATTTACCTCACAATTATACCAATACAATATTATACCAATGCTCAACATGCCTAGTCTTACTGAACGAAGGAGAATATTGAATTTAAAATGTATTCACGGTTTAATTTGATTCTCCATTATTGTTACCTCCTTATCAATTTTAAAATCCTTTCGCATACTTCTCGTTTCCAGAATATCTTCTTATTCCTAGCTCCAACAAAAATTGTTTTCAAAATGAACCTCTAGGCATAATATTTCACTCGTCAATGATCACTCCTCATCTGATAATAGCTTTTTAAATATTCTATTTCTGTAATTTTCCTTATTTTTAAAATTGTATTTATAATGTCCTACTATTACAATGACATGGTTATTGTACTGTTACTCTAATGTTAAAAAAGAAATCCTGTACATCTATAGAAATATAAATAAATAGATACTTTTATTCGAGGTAGTGCAAACAAGCGTAAGTAACGTAAGTTGTAGGCACATAAAAATGCAACAAAACCAAAACAGACTAAAATTAAAAATTTTTCACCGATATCGAGTCCAATATTATTTTATATAGTCCGGTATTCTATTTTTCAGTAAACATTATAATTTATAAATTAAAAGTTTTAAACTGAATTGTATTGTTTCGTTTTAGATCTACTTGAATGCACTGCGTTACGCCGTCACAAAAATGTTTAGGCTGCACTTTCAACGTTATAATTTATAGTCAAATTTTCAACATACATTATACCTACTGCCGTAAGATTAAAAACGCATTGTTACTCGCAAGAATTCAGTAGCCTAACAAAATTATCACGAATAACTTGAAGCGTCCACCTATACGGTCATTTGTAATTAATTTATAATTATCTTGCTGAGAATTCATAGAATTCTTTGAAATGGGCTTGAAACTATTTTATCGTCATTTTTTTAATTAAATTCAATGAAAACACGCATTACTGTGATGTTTGCAACGTTTTCACAATTCAATACATATTTAAGAATATTTAATAAAAATAAAGCTGAGAAACGGATTATGCAATGACTTCCCGTTGTTAAGAACAAGTTGTAGCAGGTACTTGTACTACAAGGTAGACGTCGGAAAATAAATTATCGATTATCAAGGACGTATTCGGGGTAAAGGTATTTTAGATGTAGAAATGTCTCTTCCGCAAAATAACTTCGGTTGTATAGACGCACAACGTAACATAAAGATGGACGTTTAATGATGATAATTTAAAAATCTTAATAAAATTACTCAATAATATCGTCACCCTGCGCCGTGTTTAATTTTACAGTCGTCTACGCATTAGTTTGTTAGTGTCGGTTAAAATAACAAACGCACGTAAAATGTATAATTTCCGATCAGCTCAAATTTATACATGATAAGGATGAGTATTTGCAATATTTAAAAAAAAAAATTAACACAGATATCATAAAACAATTATATGATAGACGTTTAAGATCGTTTTAGGTCTCTCGGTTCAACTTTTAACTGAAATAATGAATCGATAGTTACAAATTAGTGAATCCGACATTGAAAATGTGAGGACACACCAACAGAAATTTAACGTTATTGATCGTATTCTGGGCAGAGTTGGACACTAATCGGATTAAAAAATTATTCGAATGATTGTTTGAATAAAAAATTATTCTTTGACCATTTATTTTTCATTCGAGTATTCTAGTCCATTTTTATTCATCGTTTTAATTTTTACAATTACATATTCATTATTCATTATACAACGAGTTATTCTAGATTTTTTTATTCATCATTTGGTTACTCATTATTCATCGTAGTGTTTAGCTCAAATGATTCGTAGATAATTTAAAATTCCAACTGTATTGAAAATTGAAACCGGTGCGTTTCTTTTTTATTGTAATATTATTTACTATCGAAAATGTCAAAACCAAAAAAATCATAAATAATATTGTTATCTATGAGGAGCTAATCTAACTGGTTTGGCATTCGATACCCATACGTTGGGTTTTACTGCTTTTTTGGGTTTTACATTTTTTTTTATTAATAAGAAATTAGATATTATTCGCAATTTATTTGGTTAATTTATTCAGAATAATAAATGTATTCACAATCAAAACTATTTAAAATAAAATATTATTCTTTATTCACAAAATAATTAGTTGTTCATATTTTTATTTTTTATTCATCATTTTGATTTGTTTTTGTTCAACTTTGATTCTGGGACGATTTGTTGATTTTTTTTACCCGAGAAATATAGCGACCCACCATAAGCTTTTTTTCCAGTAAAAAAAAATGTACTCAAAGAAGAAGTTAAATTGCAAATAAAGTGGCCCACGTGGATAGAATACAAATCGAGGTTAGGTTATACGTCATAAATAACTCAATAGCTTCACGGACTACGAACAATTCAAAATAATAATCTGGAAAAATGTCTTTTTATTTTTGACCTTTCGTCACATTTTGAACGTTAATGCAAAACCGCTTCCGTAGATTATGCCGCGTGTGAACGGTTAAAACCGACAATAAACGTTAAAAATGCAATAATCGGGATATAATACAAACCTATCTCAAAGGAACTATGTGCTACGCTTATTTTTTCAAGAATCATACCGTTCTCTACCAATAGGTCATAGCTGGTTTTTTTCTTTCCGAAAACCGGGAATGAAGGTACACTTTTTTATGTTTATAATGACGTCCGCCTACTTTTATATTTTCCAGACGATCGCTGATTATCCAGACTATACGTACGAAAGTATACAAATGTGATTATAGATTATAATTTATGAGCTAAACGTTTAAAAACCGGACGACAAACGTAATAAGAACTGTTGAAAAAAATTACTTCGATCGAGCGTACATAATCAGTGGTGGCTTTTAGAATTTTTCTTGGGGAGGATCCTTTGAATATTATTATTTAATCATCTTATATGTATCGTCTATAGTTATCCTATCCATAATCAGAAATCGGGGGGGGAGGCTTGAGGGGACAAAGCTCCCCAGAAATGTTAAGTACAAGTCTTATCCCCCTAGCCCTAAAAATTGTTAAGTGACTAAAAATACAATAATTATTATAATTGTAAAATACATTTTTAATAACTGAGTTAAAAAAAAATAAAAATATTCTGTGATAAAAATTAAATCAAATTCGTAAGATTTTACAAACTTATTGTCATGACTTGGAACGATCGTAATTAATGTAATAATAATAATATGTAATAATACCCGCATTGGTTGTTTAATTTAATTAGTTAATAATTTTCGTTTAGAATACATACTTCATAAATTTTTAAGATAAGGCACCTATTTGTTTTTTTGGTTAAATTGTTGAGTATGTCAAATTGTCAAACTTTGTAAGTTGCCTTGTTGAAATAAATAATTGCATACAAGGGTACCTATAGGTTTAAAAAACAAATAATGGTCAGCCCCCTCACTAATTTCACCAAATGTCCGCTTATGATCCTATCACAAAAACGTTTAACCCTGTGATTCTTATACGAACGAAAAAAAAAACATAACATAACATATGATACATCACAAACATTACTGGCAGGGTAGTCATACGTAACACATCAACATTTAATATTAACAACAAATTTAATAATTAATTAAAATTAATAATTTAATAATTATATTTTTCCAATATTCGTATAGACGTTATTTACCGTTTACGGACGTTTCGAGATGGTCGAACATAATATGGTTATTTATTGTTGTGATAAAATTGAACAATTCGTTGGGGGAAGGAAGGTTCACAGAGCAGTCAAGTGCCTGCCACTTGTAGGGTACTTACACGTTTATGATCACAGCCTAAACTCGAGATCCCGGGGAGGGGGTCCATATCCCCTTTACTCCCCCCCCCCAACGCCAGTGGATACCATCGTGCAACGGTGGCCCGTCGTAACCGCACGGAACACGCAAAACGCTTAATTTGTTGCATAGGCTAAAATATATGCTTTTTTTTTTTTTTGTTTATTGCTTTTAACTGCACACTTAAGGATCTTGTCATACTCCCATTTCAAACGTTAACAGCAACGTGTAACACAGTTAAAATAGTTGGTGTATAGTTGATAATACATCTTGGAATTTTAAAAATATGTAAAATAATTTAATAAAAAAAGTAAAATCAAAAAACAAATTCTACCATAATATATAGAGAATAGAACCACAGCACACTTTTTAATTTCGTACGAACACATTTAACATTTCGTATTACACAAAGTATGTCGTACTGTACACAATTTTAGTCCCTGATTTGTTCAAATCGTATTGTTCACGTCCGTAAACGATTCGATACCCGCACGTGTTGTATTTGCCGTGATCGCTCCCGCAGGTAGGTGGCGCCACCGACGTGAGAATAATGCAACCTCGTGAAAAACATGAGAGACGAGTCGCACTTATCGCGATATCAAGTACAACGATTGTACGTAATTGTTTACAATCATCCGAGTCAGGTACAGTATAACTGGTCGATGACTTGAATTAATTGCAACAACAATAATCGTTTAAACCGTACGAATCGGTCACTGCGTACCGTTACATTCACGTGCAATACTGAATTAATTTAGTGTTCAAATATTTTTGGTGAGTATTGTTCACATACCGACTGTTTTGCTTGGACGTATCGCAAACTCCGATTGTAAACAACTGTTCCGGTTGTTTTTTGTTTGTATCTTAAGCTGCGTATGTATTTTTTTCTCGGTTTTGCTGCTATTTTTCTTTATCTTTCTTATTTCGAGATCGAACGACGTTCAATCTTTTTTCGCAACGTTAGACAGCTGTAATAGTTTTTATAACTTTCAATCAGGTTATTTATAATTTGTAATATATTTTCATTAGCCGTAAAGAATACCTAGTGTGAGGGGGGCATTACAAATAAATAATAAAAATTGCATACCTGTTACACCATTTGAAAAACTATTAAAACACCTGTTTCAATGATAATTAACTGGAGTTCAATTTATAAAAATAGTATTAGACTTACTAGTGTACTTTATTATTAGACCTGGCATTGAGTAAAGAGTACCAAATTTCACAATTCATTTATTTTTATTTCATAGTACTAGGGACATTATGTAATTTGTGTACTAATTATTATCCGTTTAAGATTATGAAAAACTATTAGTAACTAATGAGCTTAATAGTATAATGGGCAAGTTAAATATTATTTAATAAACCAATATAAATGTTATGTTATTGTTGTAAATAGGTAATTATTTTACAATTATCATTATTGATAAAAAAAAATCCTTGGCTTACCATCAGATGGGAAACTATAAAATATAATTAAATGTGATTATCCTTTTTAAAGATATTTACACATTTTTACTCATCAATTATACATATTCCTCATTTAAATAATAAACATAATAAATATAAATGCTCTCTGAAGTATAATTAAAGCCAATTTAATTATATATTAAATATTTGTTACCATTTCATTTTTTAAAAATTTAATATTTAATTAACGTCTGATGATAGTTTGCATTTTAAAAACTATATCAATATTCATCTATTACAAGGTGTTAATTAATTGACAGTTACGACAAAAAAAAATCAATAAAAAGATACTTATTAATATTTTTTAAAAAATTATTTAGAAGTAAAATTTAAATTACTTTTTAAATAATATATTATGTAAATAATTAAATTCTCATTATTGTTAATTGTATACCAGTCGCAATTTTATTGATTTTGTATATACCTGACACTTTAATTTCGAAACAAGTCATACCTTACAAATATAATACTCCAGACTAAAATTTTCTTAATTTTTAAAATTATATTTTAAATACTTTTTTTTTACGATTTTTTTTGTTTTTACTAGACAGTAATTATATTTAATATTAATATAGCTAATTCCAGCATTATTTTTTAAAATATAATAACATAAATGACATGGAGTACTGCTGTAATATTTAACCAATATATATGTTAGTGTATGTATGTGTATATGAGTTTTTTTTAATATACAGAATGTATAAGCATTAAGAAATAAAAATAATAAAAAAAAAAGTTAATTTAATTTTCAGATTTGATATAGTTATTTTTTGAGCTTAATTAACTAGAAAAAAAACAAATATTTTTCTTTTAAACAGTTCATATTATTTACAGTTATTATTATAAACATTTAGATATATTTTTCTTTTCAAGAATACAAATTTGTTAATTACTATGTTACTCCTAAAACTTACTGACACATTTTTATTTAATTAGTTTTTAAGTTTAAGTGATTAATTTAATAACATTCAATCTTTACACTTTTAACAAAAATAGAAACTCCATACATTAAATACAAATCCGACCCAATTTTATTTAAATTATTTAACATAATGATCACTACTTAATATCATAGTAACATAAATACACATATATAATGTATATATGTTAAAGATTAAATTATATATTTAAAATCTAAAAAAAAAAAAAACAATCAAAATACTATGATAATAGATAGTAATTTAATATTAGTCTCAAATATTTAATGTTTAAAATGATACTTAAAAATTGAATTTCAAACCAAATACACATTATAAATTAATAAACTGATATAATATAAAAGAAAAAAAATATACCGGGTTGTATGAAATGTTTGCAGAAAAATTTAATAGGACAATTTTTTTTAACTATTTACTAACATTATACAACTAATAAACATGACAATTAACATAACAGTTCAAAATTTATTTTTAATTTTATTGATAAAAATTAAGTTAAATTCCAGTCGACAATAAACTTACGGGGACAATAGTCAAAGTAAATTAAGTTTTAACATTAATTGCACATCTCATTATAATAACATTAAATAATTTTACTTTAGAATTTAGAAAAAATATGAGATTTTCTGGCAATATTATTTAAAATCATATATCTATGTAAGAATTAATGATCGATTTGGTATAATTATTAGTTTAAAAAAAAAAAATATATATATATATATATATTAATGTAGAACAGATAACAATGTGTGGAAAATAACATAATTTATAAACTAAAGTAGTAAAAACTTAAACATTTAAATAAACACACCTAAATAAATAGGAGTACCAAAATCAATGATTTGTGTGATAAAAAAGAAATTAGTTATTAATACTACTAAAATAATATGGGTCAGTGCTAACAAATAAAAAAAACCAATACAATGTAAAAAAATCTCAATATAATATTGACTCTAAAATGCCAGTGATAACCTAATTAAATAAATGAACCCGTATTGGTTGAAAACTAATTTACTAAAGTATATGTATCAATAATTTCTTATTGTTATGAACTAATCAAAAAATACAATTCAGTTGATAAAAATTAGATGTAAAAAGTTTTTCTATATCCACTTTAATATAGGTATTGGCTACCTAATTGTAATAGCCTTAACAATTTTTTCAACAGTGTCAATTTATTGAGTAACAAAAATTCATTATATAAACCTCATAAAAATATTAAATTTTGAGGCCGCATTGTGAATAAAAAATGAATATATTTAAGTATTAATGTTGTCAACGGCATCTTTTAAGTATGTTTGCAAATTTTGTTGACATTCATCGCCAGTCCATTGCTGCACTAAGATATGTGTTTCTGACTCTAATGATTTAGCTAATTTATCTTTGGTTTCTTGTTTTTGGAGTGCTTTTGAAGTTTTCATTGCCTTAAAAAAACAAATATAATTAATTATTATTTTAATTATATTAATACCCTATATAACCAATTACTTCTATTCACTTCTGATAACTATGACTAAATCAGACAAAATAAAACTTTTTTCAGATTGAAACTATTATAAAATCAAGTACATTTAAAAATATAAATATGTGGATTTGTTATATTTTGTATACCTTGATTAGCATAGTTAATGTATATAGTATATCTACATTTACAACAGTAACAGCTAGCAAAACAGACAATGCTGTATTCATATACCCAGGACAAGTATATTTTATATACATTTTTTAGATTTTACATTTATATTACCTTTAAATTATTACTCTAATACACATTTTTCATTTTTTTATCAAGGCGAAAAGTGAACGAGATTTAGGTATATGTGAACAGAATAACGTATGCAATATTGTACACCTAAGGTTTTGGTTTCCAAATCAAATTGAACGTATATGTAAATGTCCAAATCGTGAAGAATGTCCGTGGAAGTGGAGCACAAATGATAATCAAACAATGCCTTTAGACAACCGTTCACAATTGAAGGTTTTTAAAAATATAATTATTATAAAAATTCACTTGGAATTCATAAACTTATGTTTAGTTTTGCAAACCAATAAATGAATTACCTGATTGCACAATGAAATCTAATGAATCAATAACAATAATAAAGAACAAAGAAGACAATAATGTTCAAATTAAAGCACAGGTTCACTGTAATTGCCCACATCACACAAATTGGGTATTATCAAAACATGAACAAAATGACCATCACAACGGAACTACTGATATAAGTTATATTAAAGATCTATTCAAATGTAAAAAGGTATATTATAAATTTACACACAGGAAATATTAATTTAAAAAGTTTATACATATTTAAATATTTGTTTTTCAGTTAAAGGATTGCAATACAGGAGAATTTTGTGGATTTATAAGAAGTGACTTTTATTCAACATATACTAAATGTACTTGTCCATATGGTCATTTATGTTTACACAAAGATAGACAAGAGAATACAGCATATGAAATGTTTTTTCACGGAACATCATACAAAGCAGAGTGCACTCTCTTAAATACTAAATCAAATGAAGTCTGAAAGAAATGTATATTAGGCTTAAATCAGATACTTAATTACTGCAATACTTAATGAGACTTAACATGTAGACTAATTATTACTGAAAAGAGAAATCAAATAATCCGAATTTAAAAAAGAAAAAAAATGTTTATAATTTTTTATAAGTTAAAGAAATTATATGATAATACTTAGTTGTTTAAAGAAATAAAAAACTAACCTGTAAAGATTGTCTAGCTAATGATTTAACTAATGGTATTAATTCATCATGGAATCGATCTGGCCAAAGTGTTCTTGTCACTAAACCATAATAGTGAGCTTGTCCAGCAGTTAACCTTTGGTTACCAATAATCATTTCAGCAACCAAAAGTCTACCCAAAATAGTTGTAGCTGCACCTTCGGCAATATGACCTAGTTGTGCATATGGTGTTTCAAATGTTGCTTTGTCACTGGCAAAAACCAAATCAAAATGAACTAACATAGTAGCTCCAAGTCCAACTGCTGCTCCATCCACACCAGCAACAAGTAATTTAGGAAAATTACTTAGGCTTGAGATAAACTTCCTAAGATAAAAAAATCAAAAAATCAATAATTCAATAGTAATAAGCATGGGTCAGTAATCCATGACTTCTAAACTATTTTTTGTGGCCTGTAAAAAGATGATACAATATTTTAAATTTTTTCATAATTTAATTCAATTAAGTTCATTAATTAGTTAATAAAATAATAATGAAATATTTTTCAAAATGATTTGCATAATTAATTATGAGGAAACTTCTAGTTAATTTGAATTTTTTAATGGTCTTACTATATTCAATTTGGGGTAATCAGGCAATTCTCTCATACAATTTACAGAGGCATTAAAATAGGTAAGTGAGCAAATATTTCCATCATAAATTAATAAAAAAATAATAAAATATATAGTATTACACCAAACTAAGCTTTTATTTATTTATTTATTAACTATTTTCGATTATGAAGTAAAGAAAAAGTAAACACTTCGTGCCCAAGTGATTAATAATCATCAATGTCCTACAAATCTAGACTATAAGCTATATGATATTAAAATATTGATAAATTAATTATAGCGTCAAAATTACACTATTTAAAAATTATTAGAAGTGGTTTTAATTCAAAAATATGGCCTCGAATCGAACTTTTTAGTATGATGTCAAACTTCAACCTAGCATTTTATTCTGTAATAGTAGTAGAAGAAGGAGTGTAGGACTACGGACCAATGTTATAAATAACTAGTCTATAATCAATATTAATATTAGCTTTTAATATTGTTCGGTGGGTTATGAACTTCGATTATATAAATTATAAATAGTACAAAATAACAAAACCAAAATAATTATTCCAGTCTATAAATAATTCAATAACACAAGAAATAATCAATGCCCTGTAACGTTTGACATGTTAGAATTTATTGCTGTTCATATATTTATTGAGTTCGAACTAATTTAATTTTTGAATTATTTTGTTCGAGTTCGGTTCGGTTTTTATAAAACTTGGTTTGACACTCGAACCGAACACCTAAATTTCGGTTCAATTTTTCGAACTTCGAACAGTTTTACTTACCTCTAAAAATTATATATATTATAAAAACTTTTTTAATTTAATACCAAAACTTATATTATATATTATATGATTTATAAAAGTTATGAAATTAATCATTATTAGTTTTATATGTAGAACTTCAATTGTATGGTTAAAAAGGTGATATACTTCAAGTATATAGTACTTTTTTATGTAGACCATCTTATGATTCTAATTAATTGTATATTAATTTAATAATTATATTTAAGATTTATTGTACAAAAAATAAATTTTAAAATTACTTGAGAACAGATGAAATTTCAATAGCCGCTTCTTTACATTTCACTGGATCATGATGTATAAGTGGTGCAATATCTAAACCTTGACAAAATATTCTACCCGCTGATGAAACTAAAACTACTTTACAGGTATCATCATTTTCTAAATTATTCAATTCTTTAATTAGTTCTTTCATTACCTACAAAATTAATATAATGCAATAATTTGAAACAATTTAGATTACATAAAAAAAATTTGTTTTTAATTAATATAATAACTTACTGATATATTTAAAGCATTTTTCATAACAGTTGACACAGGTGTTAATGTAATATGTACTACTCCATCATATCGCCGTATAGTAATTTCATTATATTTAGTATCTTCAACTTCTTGTTTAATGCTTTCCGCTAATGATTCTATTTAAATGAACAAGGTACAAATGTAATTTATTACATTTTTAATTTTAAAATAAAATTTACTTACTCGATAATTTTGATACTTGTAATGATTGTTTTTTAACTTTTTGACTGACCGGAGCCTTGGTTTTAGCACAACTTTTATTTGTTACTTTGCTTGTTTCTGTAAATGGCTGATCATCCAAATTTAACAAAATATCATCAGAGGTCTTATTTTTTCTAGTATATACTCTCAAAGGTTTTACAGGTGCATGTTTTGTAGTCACGTTATCAATAGGTACATGTACAGGTATTGGATGTATTGGACTACCACCAACACTGGATGCTTCACTACTAGATGAATGTTTTCTAATAATTTTAGATTCATCAGCTGGAATTATTTTTCTACCAGAGAAATTTCCTAAGGATTTAACAGACTGATCAGAACCCTGTGAATCTAACGAAGTCTTTCTTGTACATTTATTTTCAGGTGTAAGAGATGGAGTACATACATCAGAACGTCGACCAAGACGATTGGATGATAAAGCAGTACTGGCAGGAGAACTCATCTTAAGCATAGCATTTTTTACCAATTTAGTTTTTAACATCAAGTCTTTCTTTTTACGGCGAGTTGATGGGAGAATATTTTTGGAATTATTATTACCTGGAGATCTTCTTTTTTCAAGAGAATAAATCATATTTATTGCTCCTTCATCACCCAAAAGTCGATTAATTTCTCTCATGGTTCTTGCTTTAGCAACTTCATTAGTTTTAGGTTCAGACTCAACTTCTTCGATATTATCACTAGCAGTCTCATCATTAAAGGTTGGCTCCAATTTTACAGTAGATTGACGTTTGTCAGTATACGATTTAATATATTGATCAATAGCTATTTTAACTTCAGGTACATCACCAGGTTTTTTCCGTTTTTGAGCAGAACCAAGATCCGCTTTGGGCAATAGTTTCTTTTCGGTTTCTGCTTTTCTTTTTGCAAAGTGAGAATCAAACCTCTTTGGCCTGGAAACTTCTTGAAGTTGTTTCAAAGCTATTTGTTTTTCTATTTCTGGATCTAATTTCGGTTTAGACCTTTTAGTTCTAGTTGTGCTTCGAATTATTTTTTTTTTCACAACTGGTTTTGGTAGTTCTGGAACTTTGTTACCATTTGTATCAGCAGTTTCGATAACCTCAAAATCTTCAAGAATAGCAATTAATTCTTCATTAGAAGATATTTTCTCATCATTTTTATCATCTGATATATTATTTATTGACTGATCAGCAGACTGATCTAAACTCTTCAAGGTATTAGTTATTTGATCAATGTGTTGAGAATCAGATTGTGAATCATTATCTTGTATAGACTCTTTAGAAACATTATTGGACAACTGAACATTGGAACTTGGACTTTGACTATTTTCAACAGACTTTGATGTTGTACCTGCATCAATTTTTTCTAATTTTTTATTTGATAATTCTTTTTTAATATTTAATTTTTTTGAACTTTTATTAGAAGTATTAGTTGAATCTTTAGATTTCCCATCGGGAGTTTTTAAAGGAGAAATTTTATTAGCTAATCGATGGGTCAATTTCATAGAAAAAAGTTTATCCGGCTTATCAACTCGAGTTATTGGATATTTTTGTTGAAATCGTTCAAATAGTTCTTTGGCAATTTCATCTTGTGTGACTATTTGACTAGTCATATGAATATAAGGTACTTTGACACCAAATCTAGGTTTTAACATTCGTTTTCCAGAACGAGGCAAAGTTTCTTCGGTTAAAGAGGAAATATCACGTCCAGCAATATGTTGAGGAATTGTAACTGTTACTTGATTTTTTTTCACAACCAGTGTACCATCTGTGTTTTTAGTTTCATAAAGTTGGATATCTTGTTCCATAGTTTGATCAGTATTTAATGATTCATTAGTATTTTCACCCTTAATCTCAGATTCATTGGTACTGGTATCCATATCTTCAGTTACACTCGCATTGGCTAATTCAACAACTTCAACTTCTTGATTATTTTCATCTTCAAATATCTGATTATTTTCAATTTCAACTTCAATTTCCTGATTATTTCCAATTTCAACTTCAATTTCTTGATTATTTTCAACTGTAATTTCTTGATTATTTTCAACTTCAATTTCCTGGTTGTTATCAATAACAATACAATCGAGTTTCTGGCCGTTCTCATCAACAATAGTCATTTCAGACACATTCAATTCGGGTTCATGAGAATCACTACAACTGTTGACAACAACGGTACTGTTGCACATGCTTTCATCCACAATCTCCATCTGATCATCTTGGATACTGTCGTCACACGTTTCAACAACTTCCATCATACCATTGGTGCCACTGTTGTCGCCTTGCTGCTCTTGAATTACTACCTCTTTGTCTGCAGTATCTTCTAACGTCCGGACAGCAATCTCTTCTTCTACGTTCAATTTGTGCATCTCAGGTGAATCTTGCACGCCGTTAGTCTTGTCCATATCCAGCAGAACTACTTCGTCGACGTCGGAACGACAAGGAATCTCGTTCACCTCGACGACTTCCATAGCGGTGCGCAGCAGTAGTACAGCACTCGCGAGGATCGCAACCGCGAGTACGACAGTCGGCGGTTGACGCTACGACCAGAACCACTCGGCAACAGCTAAAAAATGTAAACAACGAACACGAGGAACGTCGACTGGTAGTCGCGAGTACCACACGCACGGGAATTCGCACAGCCGATCAAACGGAAACAACAACACCCCGCTGACGCCCGCACGAATAGATAAGAGAACGAAGATCCACGGTGGTCGGGAACGTCGGTCTTCCGATTCGACGACAATCAGTGTTTGTTGTTCGCGAAGGCTACGGCACGTTATTGGACGTCGAGCATTTTCGTTGATATTTTATTTTTTCTTTTTCTTCTACTTCTTCTTCCTATAAGCTCCGTAGGTTCGGGGTTGAGCACCGCGCGGTCGACGGCGAAAAGGCGGCGACGAGGAAATACGAAACTTGAACGCGAGCACCGGTTACGGACGGGGTTAACGGCGTCTATGGCGGATACGCGGTGCACGACGACGGCACGGACTCACGCGGCAGTACTTGTCGCGGACGTCGGACAAGAAGTAGAAATCGCCATCGAAACGCCGTACCGATCACGACCGGACACACAATTGCAATACGCCGACGGGCCGACAGTCAGACGCGCACAAGCACACAAGAACACAAGCACGCACACACGCACACACAGACGCGCGCGCGCATTGACACGGACGCGAATATACGAGCCGACACACACGCACACATGCGCGCGCGCGAGTTTACAAAGATAAATAAAATGTTCGTGTCGAACACTGGAACGCGGACCGACCGCGTAAAGCGCCGTGGCACACATGTTGCACGCGCGCACGCCGTTCTGTTGGCGGCCCTGACGCGGGTTTCCATTGGGTGCCAAAGTCCGCCATCGACCGTCCCGCCGCGGCGGCGGTTAAACCATGTTTACCGTACTGAGTTCGTGGCCCGTTAATGAGTGATTGTCACCGATTTCGCCGGTACGGTACCGCGATAAATCGTGTCGTTCGATCTCGCGCGATGCGTTCGCGCCACGTCCCCGGGGGGACCTAGGAAACGTGAACCGTAAAATATTCGCCAACATCCGGGTCTCGAGAAGACCGAACATGAGCAGCACCGACCGTCATGGTGATTATTTGATAACGGTTATCATTCGGCTGGCACCTATGAAGCCCGCGTGTTTTTGAACCGTCGAATTATTGCGCGCGTGATACCGCGTAAACCGAAGCGTTCGCGAATTGTTTTCCTACACAGCGGTTCTCGATCTTTTTGAGACCGCGATCCCCTTATGCCGCCAACATTTCCGACGACCGTTTTAATATGATAACATTTCGAAATGGTTATAAATTAATATGCTTTATTTACAGTTTTGATTGAATACCCCGAACTTTTAACAATTGTAATTCTCAACAATAATGATGATACTTACGAAAACACCTCGCTAATTATTTTATATATAGGCGACCCCCAGTTTGAGATGCGCTGTACTAATAGATTATGTTAACCGTTTAATTTAATCTGTACTGTTATCGTCATTTATGATTTTTTCAGTAGTAGGCCATTTGACACTCGTTTCCCAAAACGACTCCCGTTTTACAAATTGGTCAATTTCCAAACGGCTCCCGTCAAAAAAGTTCCAACGAACAGGTAAATTCCTAAACAGTTCCGGTTATTTACAACAGAAATTCCTTCCCACTTTATTTTACTTTAATTCACTTCATTTTAATTTTGGTAGCGATTTTAAACGAACATAATATACAAATTTACAAATAGCGTTGATATCTTGAGTCGTCAAATCATTTAAATCGTTCGGTTCAAGTTGATTTAGGAGATGTTTTGATTGCTTTTCGTGTATATTTTCTTGAGCTTTACGCTTTAAACTATTACTTATCTCCCTCCTCCTTAGACATTGTCATCTAAATGTGAGTGGTGAGTGGTTGTGTTCCAGATGTCCATCATACATTTCACCAATACTGTTTCGCTTATAATAAGACTTATAACCACGCGTTGTACATTTCCAACTCTATATTACTGGTGAATTTTATATAGAAAGTTAGTGTAAGCAAAATTGTTATCGACATTATATTGTCAATATTTTAGTTATAGTTATAGTTAATAATTAGTTATAGTTCAATGTTTCGGTTTTTTCCGATATTATCAATATATCCTATATTTTCGGTATTCCGTTTTATAAATTTTAAATTTAAAAATTTGATACACAGGAACTGTATATACTATATAACAACAGCATTACGAGGAGCGTAATCACGCGTTTATTATGTTGGCTATTTTGGAAGACAGGCGTTCATATGTCCAATAACTATTGTAGAGTTTACAATTATATAATTATACCTGTTTGTACATTTTTTTCGACGGGAGCCGTTTGGGATCCTATGATTTTTTTTATTATATTCATCACATTCTTTGTTCTTGAAAATTCAACTTTGTCGCCAAACTCATGAATTCTTGTACGAACTAAATTCCCATCAAAATCATTAATTTTCATAAATTTTTAGCTAGTATAATTTTCCATTTACGTAGAGATTTAATCTTTGGCATTTATTGTATTTATTTTGTAGCTCCTGGATTAACAGACTTGACCTCTGCGCATATTCGCCTAACTGTAATATGTAGAACTCTCAAACTTCAATCGCAAATGTTGACAGCTTACGAAAAAAATTAGCAGTTTTAATATTTTCGCTTATGAAATTTTTAATACATAAATTTAAAATTTAAAAATAAGAAAATACAATTCTTATTGCTCCGATCAAGTGTATCATGGTTTACAAATGTCATTTTTTTTTAAACGTTCAGACGTCAAGTAAATACAACAACTCTAAAACAATAAATATTATTAAATAATTTATAGGAAGAGCACAGAGAATAGTGTATAATGCTCAACAATGTCTATATAAACAATAGACGAAAAAAAAAAATTTTAATATTTATTTACCCATAGTAAAAACGTAAGCCAGTAACAGAACAAGAATGTCAGCACGGCGCCAGTTGTACAACGCGACGTGCATGCGGTCGAGTTCTACACTCGCTCTACGAGACGGTAAAATGTTGAGCACCAATGGCTATACGGACTATTATTTATTATAGAACAATCGAATAGGTCTATTGTTTTTTTCATAGTCTTAAACTAAATTTTTATTTTCAAAAGTAGTACAATAAAAGTACAATAAACGTGTTACGAATTTATAATATTGTTTTGATGAATCTTCTCTTGGGAGTAATTAATTAACAAAAGAAAATGTCTACAACATGTTTACTGCCTTTTAAATACGCTTGTCACGCACATTAGGAAATCTGTCACATTTGTTTGGTTTTCTCATACTGGGACAAATATTTACACTACACTGGTTTACTATACTTTGATGATACGTATAATTTTACGAAAAAAACCAGATGGGTGCGAGCAAACCCGGATTATGGTTTTTAGGGCCGTAAGCACATTCATATAAATGGCCTACATATAATTTTCATACACTTAAAGAAATTAATTTTATTTTCAATTATTTATTAGGTATCACAAATAAAATTAAAATAATTATAATTTACATTTGAATCTAAATTTATAATTTTGAATTCTTATATCAATTTTCTTTATTATTGCATTATTTAATTATTAACTACTATATAGATATATACTAAATATCATCATTATTATAATTTTATTTATTTAATATTATTTTTAGGAAAAACCCGAGTCGCTATAGTATTAAACTAATAAACTTCTGAGTACTGATCACATCATAAAGTTAAATTAATATGATGAAATATTTTTGGAAAATTAGTTGAAATAACAAAATAATTGATACAAATCACAGTTACAAGTTTTCAACAAATTTGATAACTATAATATTAAATTATTTATGATATAAAATCATAAATTCATAACTACTCATGAGAAAAAAATTCTTAAATTTTATTTTTATTATACATAAATTTGATTTTAAAAATTATGGGCCGAATTTTTTTTGGGCCGTAAGCAATTGCTTATTTTGCCTACCCTTTAATCTAACCTGGGTGCGAGTAATAATAAAAATATATTTATATGCTGAAATATGCTTGTGGATAGCCGTCGTAGAACGAAGATAACCTATCCGTATGATGTGCATGCTATAAAAAATATATCTACTATCTCGGCAGTACAGTAGCGCAATCAGGAATTTTTCATGGGGGGGGGTCTGACAAAATAAACTAATATACAAATAATAAAAAATTATAATGTATATATCTAGAATATGATATTAATATACTATTATACGTACCAAGGGGGGGTCCAGACCCGGAGTCCACCCCTGGTTGCGCCACTGCGGCAGTATTTATTTTATGATTACGACGCACATTAAAATGAAACACTGTTGCTCATTGAAAACGAGAAGACTGTCGATTTCAACATTTTAAGTTCCAGCCAGAGCGAGAAATACAATTGTTTAGCAATTACCGATTAATTATCATGTGCCTTTTATCTGTGATCATTTTTATATTATGTATACATTTTATATCCTGCAGAAGTGGAACTGATCCCTCTATTTAGCTCATGTTCTGATCCTATAAAATCCCATGAGATCGGAAGTAGAAATCTAAAAAGACATATAAGATATTCGAAGGAGAAGATATCGAAAATACTATTATTTTAAAAACCCAGTAATTTCTTAAAAATATAATTTAGTTCTGAACTTAACGAAGACCTGATCTCAATTATCAATTAAAATTTAGATGGCACATTTTTTCAAAGAGGATTGATACAAGTTGTCCTGCGGAACTATACATAGTAATCAGTAGAGTGTCTTAATTTTAGTCAAACTTTAAATTTAGGGGGCAAAAAATTTCGTATGCAGACTTGTGATTATTTTGTGCGTGGATCTAAGGTAATGTTTATAAAATGGTTATATAAATAGTTATTAAAGTTCATTAATAATAATTACCTTGTATAGGTACTATGTTTTTATACATGTTTTATATATCTCAGATGATTTTTGTAAAAAAAATGCAAATTTCTCATTGGGGAGGGGGGCACAAATACAGTGATTCACCTGGAACACCACCAGACCTCAATACAGCCCTGGAATGGCAAACGTTTAGGTATTTCAAACCACTTTTTTAATTGTTCCGGTTAAAAGTTATAACAATTGTTTGATGGAGACAATGAAATCCCTTTCCGACGGCGATCTAAACAAAACAAGGCGTTTTGGTACTTTTTATTCGCAGTCCAATTATAATACATATATAAATATACATACGCTAATCGATACAATATTTTAATGTTCATGGAGCTGCTGTACGACAATGGCGTATTCTAGGGGGGGAAGGGAGCATTCGCCCCTCCATGACTCGAATTTTTTTGAATATAATACATTGATTTATTTAAAAATGTAATGTATAAATAATTAAGAACATAAATTACTACTATCATTATATGTTATTATTATAACAGGAACATGAGCTGTAGAGGTAATGAACTGTAAATTTTTAAGTTTGTATTGAAGAAAAATTAGATCCCCCCCCCCCCCCCCGTGGCCTCAACTGAAATACGCCCTTGCTGTACGATTGACGGGTCCGAATTTCCGAACATTTTAACACTCGTACTCGTCAGTGATCGATCGTAATGTTAACTCTTTTATGATTTTTTTTTTTTTTGTTCCTCGTAGCTTACCATAATAACGTCAACGCCGCCAAGACGATTATCGGTACGGGTATCCACTCGTGCGCAAAATGTGGACGCACTGGTCCTCGTCATCACCGCGATAAGAACACGTGATAAGAACGGACGAAATTGCGATACGCATGCGAGTGCGAACCGTATTGCACATAACAACTTCGTGTATTGTCGTATCAGTAGAGTAGAAATAGTTCGTTTCCTTGTTCGTGTTCCTAACACCCAAGTAAATTACCAATAACCCCGCGGTAATGTTGTTATGGAGTGGTTGTTCATCGTAGCTTCAGTAGTCGCGTCTTTCGTCGTCGTTATATTTTTCATATTCATCGGTAAGCTTCCATAATGTCTGTTTTCTTCTTCCCTACAGCACGCATGACTTGTATGTCGTTGTTCCATTGTTCCCGCAAAGGCTTTGTTCTAGTGTTGGGACCGTTGAACTAGTAATAGCGACGTTATAAGTACATGCACTGTCGCATTTATTACTACGTTTCATTAAAATCTAAACAAAACCTACTTCGAAATCTGCTTTTAACCTATTACCATGTTCTGCTCTGTGTTTGTGCCATAAAATATTTTTGTTAAATCACTACAGGTTTCTACATAACTTTTAAAAATTAAAATAATTATTTTTTATTTTTTAAATTTACAAATAAAATATTGCTTAATAGTCGACCATTGAAAATTCCTTCATACTTTTTATATCCTCATGTAAACAATATATTTTTATTAAAATTAAAATAACATTTTAACTAGAATATTATCATTTGTTAAAAAATTTAATAATTTAACATGGTATTGATTTTTGGTATTTATCAATATAAATGCTTGACGTTCATTTTAATCAAATTAATTTATGATAGATATGTAATCAGATTATTTAAATCTATAAATATTTGTGTAAAAAGCTAGAAAATATATGTAGAAAATTGCTGTGCCTAGTTTTATAAATAAAATATGTTATTTTTGTAGGTTGGTGTTTAGTGTGGAAGCTCTATTTGTCAAAATTTAAACTAGTCAGAGAACTTTTTTCTCAGCAAACACCAGAAGTTGATAATTCGAGTAAAACTCAAAAAATTCTTTAAACTGCCAAAAAATGAATATTCGCTGTGCTAAACCTGATGACTTAATGAATATGCAACACTGTAATCTGCTTTGTCTTCCTGAAAATTATCAAATGAAGTATTACTTCTATCACGGTTTATCATGGCCCCAATTGAGCTATGTGGGTGAAGATGAAAAAGGAAACATTGTTGGATATGTGTTGGCAAAAATGGAAGAAGACTGTGAAGATAACCCCCATGGACACATTACATCATTGGCTGTGAAACGATCACATAGACGATTAGGACTTGCTCAAAAATTAATGGATCAAGCAGCCAGAGCTATGGTAGAATGTTTTCAGGCAAAATATGTATCATTGCATGTACGCAAGAGTAACAGGGCTGCATTAAATTTATATACTAACACATTGAAGTTTACTATTTCTGAAATTGAACCGAAATATTATGCCGATGGTGAAGATGCATATGCAATGAAGAAAGACTTATCCCATTTTACATTATTGTGTGCTGATGACGATATACCAAGTAGTGACACTTTGTCCAATTTGATGAAAAAAATTGAAATTGATTCTAAATAAATTGTAAATGTACTTTTTCATATAATATAAAAGATTATCGGTTATAAAAACATTGTTTAATTCTTATATTTAATAGTTATTGATAAATAATTAATATTTAAACATATAAATACATCTTGCCACATCAAGTTCTGAAATTAATGTTATGTATTGTATGGATAAATATTTAACCATTTTAGATATATTATATTATTTTAAATATCACTTAATCATATTTTATTGGTGCAAGTATAATTAATCTTAATATTAATCTCATGGATAGGTTATAATTCAACTTTATTAATGTTTCATCAAACAAATAAGTAAGGTGCTCTCTCAAAAAAACTCTCATATAAACATATAAATAAAGATAAATTTATAATTCTTATATTATACTTTTGTATTAAATTCTACAATTTTTTTTCTTAACTGTATATATAGATTTTCATGATACCTATTTCAGTTACATTGTACAGTAAAATTATATTTTTTAACTTATAATTACTTTGTATATTTTCATTTATTTTATTTGAACAAGTTGAAAATTAATTGAGTATATTAATTTAAAAATTTAAAATTCATTAATGATTCTTACCCAACATAATTATCATTTATTCGAAGGATTTTGAATTGTATTTGATTAGAAACATTTTTTAATAAAAACAATTTTTAAACCGATATTAACTGTTTTACTAAATAAAATTAACTTATGTCAAGGGTATAACATTTATACTCACAATATTAAATTATACAACTGTTAAATTTCTACATTTATATGAAATCAAGAGAATTTCAACTAAGTAAAGTTCATAATTTGATTAAAACTTTTTTTTCTTATTAATCGACAATACACCTGCCACCTGGAAACGCCGTTAAGCAATGCTTCAGGTGGCAAGGTTTGATGATTTAACATCTATTCCAACATAGAAAATTAATTCAGTAGGTAAACTTTTTTTTTTTTATTATTAGAAAAGCATAATTACAATCTATACATGATTTGTACGAGTAATTTTTTGACAATGGTTTTGTGTCTGAAAATTACACAGTAGGAAGGTATTCAGTAGTATCACCGGACATATTAAAAAGGCAGGTCTCTAGGCCAAGACCGTTTTAGTGTTTTTTGAGGATTGTCATGAATTTCATATGAAAAAAGTCGATTTATTAGTTGATTTTTATGGTGGAATAGCTTTGAATGGAATGAGAGAGTCAGATTTATTCAGTTGTGATTGTGTTGGGATTTTTAAGTCTTTATGAAGATTAATGCTTTTGATGAACCAGGAAGTGGAGACATTAGGACTGGAATATTTGGAAGGCTCTCAAGTTAAAGGGTTTGATGAAACCCAACTGAATATCATATCTCTACACTGCTCTTATAATTGCTTTGTAAATTAATAACTTATTTTTGATATTTAATTTGGAACGAAGAAATTGGCAGAGAAAATGTAGTCTGGAGTTGACGGATTTGCTTTTGTTTTTTAGATGTCGGGCCCAGGTAAGTCATCTGTCAAACGTCAAACCCAGATATTTGATTTCAGTGGTTGTTGGGATAACTTTATTATTTAATAGGACTGGAATTTAGATACTGGCGCTTAGTGAGAATATGATATAGCATTGGTTAACAAACTTTTTTGGTTCACGCATCCCCAAAACAAAATAATTGTAATCCATTCGCTCTCTGTGAATAAATACAATATACAATACAAATATTTGGCTTACGCCTAATAGTTTAAAAATCACTGTGATATAAGATGATTTAGAATCATTTATTTTTATTTTTCAGCGTTCAGACCATAGCTAGATCATATTTAGGTGGTTTTGTAACATGTAGGTAAACTTAAGGGTAAAAAAAAAAAAGACTAATTATTTTATTGTAAGGTATATCGAATCATTTATTTTCAATTAATTGATATTTTTAATAAACAATTTTGTTAGAAATAGTTATAAATTTGGTAAAAATATTGCTTGTAATATGGAATGTTAAATTATTTTATAATATTACTTATTTTATATTTCTAAAATACAGCAAAATTTATAAATCAAATATTAAGTTATATATTTCTATCCAATCCAATGTTATTATAAAAGTAAAAAATTATGGGTTGATTAAGTTAATTGTAATATTTATTTTTTTACATTATTTATATTATTTATTGACATTAAAAACCCATTTCCAAATGCTCTAATTATTAAATACAATATTATTGTATTAATAGTATGTATAAACCATCTAATATAAAAAGATATAGTTCTTAAATAATAACAACACATCATATTAAACTAAATATATTATATAATTTAAATAGTTATTGATATATGAATATAGTTTATCTATTAATTAGATATTTAAAAAAAATTAATAAAAATTATTGCACAACCTTTTTCAACAAATAAACACTATTATTGTTTACGAAGTACATAATAAGTTATGGGAACTATAGAAATATATCAAAACCATGATAAAACACCATTTATAGATAAAATATGTCAATAAATAATATTGCAATAGTAAATTGTATTTACTTTAGAACAAATTTTAACTAAATACAGTAAAATCTGAATTCTTGACATTTTTAACCATATTTAAATATTATGAAGTTGTCCATAAAAACTAAATATAATTTTCTATTCAAGGTAAAAAATATATACACCCAGTTTTTGAAAAGATCAGTCACTCCCAACAAGTCAACCATAGGGTAGGTAGACCACACACTTGAACACAAAATGTTCCTCGAATTTATTTTTCAGCTTAAAAAGAGTATATTAATTTTGTTCTATCTACTAACTTGTTTTACTATAGAATGAAAAAATCACTAACTATTATTTATTATTAATAAATTAAGATATACTTTTAAGATTATAGAACAAAACAAGTATTTTAAATTACATTTGAACATAGAGATTAATGAATACAACACAAATAAAAAAAATTAGATTCATTTTAAAATAATACTTTACAAAATGTTATACAAAATATATGAAATAAAAAAATATATAATCACACAAAAAATGTAGGAACAAATTAAAATCACAGGATAAAATATAATTGTTTAAAAAATAAATTAAATATACTAAAATCAAAAAAAAGAATACTACATCATATACTTGACTGGTTAAAAATCATTTTTTTAAATATATCAAACATGTAAGAATGCCTTACATCTAAAATCACAAGATTTAAATACTCACAATGTGATTAATTTATATTTATAAACTAAAATTAGAAGTCCGTTAATACAATAATTATAATGAGCTAAATAATAAGGACTAGATTTTTAAATAAAAAAATATGAAGAAATAGAAATTTACAGCTACCTTGCATTTCTATACAATTTGGCATACAAGAATATTATTTAATGGTTTAAATAAAACCTTTTTAATGGAAATCAATACTATTAAATAATTTAATTTATGACATTCATAAGTTGTACATATTTTCAAGTTGATAAGTTTAAATACATGATTTATCAATCGAAATTTAAAAATAACCAAAAATCAAGGCTAGCGTTAAAGAGGTGCAATACCTATGAATGACCAATTTATATAAACGGCAATCATCAACAAATGATGCAATATTAGTATTGTGAAATTTTTTTTTAGAAAGAAGTTGGCAAATCTGTAAGTTTATAACCTTACCCCTCCATAAATACTTCCTAACTGCCAAAAAATAGATGAATATGACCATTATACAGCATGGTTATAATTTATAACAATTGTACCAATGCTCTATAGATTTATTTGTGCGTAGAAGGTATTCCTTCATCAATTTTCATCTAATTACTGACTATTTATAATTATTTCAGGTACTCTAGTATAAAATTGTAGATTTTGATTAACTTGAAAACAATATATATGTATCTTAATCTATATTTTATAGTGAAATAAATGGTATGGTTAAAGTTAATCAATGTTTTAAATGTCTTCTTTGAACATCCTTAGTTATATAAAGCAGGAGCTTTATGGTATTTTTAATTACATGAATGAAAATATTAATTTATAAATGTATATTTTTGTTTGAACTGTAAAAATCAGTTGAGCATACGATTTTGAGCGACTGTTTTATTGATTAATTTTTAAAAACTAAATAAATTAAAATTATGTAAATAAAAATAAATTCTTTAAACTAAAATTGAACATATTTTCTCAATTTTAAATATCAATAATTAAAACCACAGTTTAAAAGTAAATTTAATCTATCATGAATAGAGGACTAAAAAGCTTGTTTAGTATCCTTTTAAAAGTTGAAATGAAATTCCTCAAAACCTAAAATTTTAATAGTATTTAATCATTTTGTTATATGGTAACATTTATATATTATTAAAAAACTTCTGTTAAAATCACTATAATATTAAAAGATTCCATAATTTTCATACTAAATGAATATTCTAATAAGAAATTATTTAGCTATGAATATAAATATATTTAATGCTAAAATTTGATATAAATTCACCTTTTGTTATTGTAAATAATTGAAAATTCAAAACATTAATTAATTTTTGGGCACCATACACAAAATTCTTATCTACAATATTTGATGTTTAGTTAATATTAATATTATTCTCCATTATCTTAAATTAATTAAAAATACAATATTGTTAACTAGTTAAAAAAATTATCAACTGCTAGAGAAATTTTTTTGAGCTGCTAATAATTTTCAAATTTATTATATGTTATATGAACTTAAAAATTAAAAAAAGAGGTTAACAATACTTGGAAAACACATTACAATAAATTTACTTAAGTTATAATTGTAATATTGTATGTTAATGTTTACTGTCAATAATACCATCACCAAATTAATTATAGATTATATAGTTTTAGAGATTTTAATAGATTTATTGAAGTTAATAATAATAACTAATTATTTTCAGCGTAAGACACCATACTAAATAATACAAACCAAATATAATATATATTCAGTTTAATTTGTTTTTAATACTGATACTTTAAGATCATTCACAATATGAGAGATTTCAATAACAGCATCTGCCATTTCTTGTACAGCAGTTACACTAGGGAATAACTGAGCAGCTCTTTTAGATTTTTGAACAACTGTTGAAATACCTGCAGATAAAGCACTGGAACATTGCTCTATATGATTTTTTGCAATTGATTCTTCTACATTACGACATATTGTATCACCAACAACAACTAATTGATGTGCAATTAATATTATAAACTTGAGTTTTAAAATAAATACTGGTGGTGGATGGTTTTCTTCAACTATTTGTAAGAACTTGGTTATGTGACTAGCTAACAAATCTGATTGACTAACAATTTGATGACTATAGAAATTGAATACCTAAAATAAAAATATGTTTTGAAAATTAACAATGTAAATTATTTATTAATTTTTACCATTGTAATAATCCAATTAAACCACAGTTGATTTTAAGATAAAAATTAGTTTAGTCAGTGAAATGCATTCTTTGCTTCAATCAGAATTTATAAAAACAATTAATGATATACCAACTATTATTTATTAAATTTGCTATAAGAATTAAGTAGTTAAATACAACCAAGCTTTATGTAACAAATTTTATATATAAATAATTTTAAATTGAATATTTACACTTAAAATAATAAATATAAACATTAAAAAAAAAAAAAAAAACTTATAAAATCTTATGATAGTTTATTTATTATAAATAATGTACATTGTACTTAAATAAACATAACATAAAGATGACAAAATTAAAATAAATATTATCAATATTAACAAAGTAATAAAATTAATATAATTAATTGATTAATTATAGATAAAAATTGTTTATTTATATTCTATTAAATAATTAAAATAAAAAATTGCTTACTTTTTTATCTTTACTAGTAATACCAGAAGAACTATTTGTTTTAATTGAAATTGTACTCGATGCATTACTTATATTAGGCTTAATTCCATTATCATTAGCTATATATTCATAATCATCATCTTCATTTTCAGTACATATTATTTTTTTAAACAAAAGCGTAGAATTTCCCTATAAGAATAAAATGTAATAATATATAATAAAAAGTTTCTTTCATAAAATTCAATCTATAGGTTTTTAATATACTTTTAAAATGAAAATTAATAAATCATTAAACTCAATTTAATATTTTAATTAATTATATATATATATCAATAATTAAGTTTATTTATATAAAAACATGTTTGATATTATTTTAAAATTTATAATTTATAATTATTGAAAAAGCAAGTGTTACCAAAACAAATTAATTAATACAACTAGATCATAGACAACTTGATTCGTATACTTTACGTAATAAAATTTCATCAAACTTCTTAGAATTAATAGGCAATTTAATTATAATGTAACAGAACTAATGTTTTTCCCAAAATTATGGAATTGTGAAGCATTAATTTTGTGAAAAAACTCAAAATGAACATTAACGTCACAAACTGGGAACGAAGAGAATTCCAAAAAAAATATTAGCACTAAAAAAAAAAACTACACAAAGGTTCTAAGTTGGAACTAAAATATAATTATATAAAAAATAGGTGTTTTTATTATTATTTAATGTGTAAGAGGGGCACATTAAAAAAAAAAAAACTATTGTTATTTTGTACTTTGATAAAATGTATGTTGATATATTAATACAATTTCAAATTATATTTTAATATTTTAAGTTATAAAAAAATTATATTACTAAATAAATATTAATATTACCTTAATAAAAGATGTGATTTGACGTATATCATCAGTCAATAATTTAGCACAGGAAATTAACTTATCTAATGCATCTTCAGTATATTCACATTCAATATTTGAATCTCTGTTTAAAATATCTGGTTTCCAACCAAGACAATCCAAAGTATTCGTTGAATAATATATTATTTTATTAATTTTAACTAAATTGAAAACTAAAGGATGAAGTTTAGTTGAGATCCCTAGAACAATGAACAGTTATAGTTATATTTAAAAGTTGTTGGTTTTTAATTAATAAAAGTTATTAAATGTTAATATCATGTATTTTTTTAACCTTTATCACGAGCATTTACAGCATTTCCTAGACAACCTTCTGAAAATTCAATAAATTGGTGCAAACTACTTTTAAGTCGTAAGGAAATAATTTTTATGTCCGAAATGTTGGCTTCTAAATTTCTGATATTTCTCCAATTAGGTCCAACAAAATTTAAAAGTCGCGTTGTATTCAAAGATACCTCTGATGTTAATTTATCTAATTGTTCTAGTGCATTATTTAAGTCAAGAGGTAGTTCTTTAGGTTGCAAACTACTTGATGGAACATCATAATCCTAATTTTAAATGAAAAAAAAAATTAGTATTAACATTAACATATATTTTATTAATGAATTCATACTTGACAATTTATAGATAAATTCTGAAATTCAGAGGGAAAAGAAGCTAAAATTCGGTTTTTAGGAACATCATAATCCGGAGCAATACTAGACCGATTAGATTCACTTCCACTTGCACTACTACAAATACCACCAGTTGATAATGAACTGATTGAACTACTTGGAGTGACTTGTATATTCAGTGGTCTAGGTATATCATAGCTTTCTTTTGAAATAGGAGGATGTTGGTTTGGTAAAGGATCATAGCTGTCACTACAACAGCCACTACTGCTCCCAACACTATGTGGTCGTTTTATAGAATCACTAGTTATACGATCTAATGCTACAAAAATATATGGATATTTTAAAAACATAGTTATTAAAAGTGAAATATTATACAAATAATTTACGCACTGTGATTAGTGGGTGGAATATTATACCCATTAGTATCAACTATTTTTTGAGGTGTATCATACGTAAGGAGGTCACCCAATTTTTGCTGTGACGTCACCTATTTATAGTTACATAACATAACACAAAACAAAATAATGATAATTAATGATTTCTAAAATGTTTAGAAAATTGTATTTACTTTATTTAGATTTGCATGCCAACTTTGATGTTTATTATCATGGTTGATATTATTTTGGTCTTGAGCACAATTTGATATTATTTGGGATTCAGTCACTTCATAGACACCTGGAATCAGTCTTAAACGATTTCCAGGGCATATTCCCTAAAGAAATATAAACTATTAAGATAAATATTTTAAGATGATTAGTTTGAAAGAAAACAAACTTGACGGCCTCGTAATGAACATAACCACCATCCTTCAAGACCAGCAGTATTCTGTTCTAAAACTGTTAATATATCATCTTTTCTAAATGCTAATTCATCTGGTGCTTCAGCAATATTATCATACATGGCTCTAGCAATGCAATTCTAAAATGAATATACAATCAATTAAAACTAGCCAGTAACTTGACAAGTAATAGAAAATAAATATAGTAAAACTTAAATAAAATGGAACCAAAAATAATAAAATAAAGCTTTTTGTATTAAAAGGATATATTTATTTTCTTGGTCAGGACCAATGCATAACTGGTAAAATTTTCTACAAATCATTAATTAACAAGTATGCAGATACAGTTATGGAACAAATTTTGAAAATAATATAAATAGTAAGAATTTCCAGCTCAGACTACAAGATAAATATTTTAATATAATTCCATACAGTCTATGAGCTCTATTGTCAACGAGCAATAGATTATAAAGAAAAACATTTGAATTTCTTAGACTATACAGAACGGATACTCACGGTATATCCATTATTTATAGAACCATTGGAATGTAATTGTAGCATTTTGTGCACTAAAACGTAGCCTTCATAGGTGTGTCGTGAAAATCATTGGCGGACTAATAATATTATGTCTCGATTTCGCACTAATTACGTTACAAACACCATTGATCATCGCTCGGTTTTGTGAGCCTGTCGTCTGACCGTTTGTTTTTGCAACGAATTATCTAGGTTTCTGCTGGAGTTGCGAAATATCGTATGAATTGACATTTTTCTTCGTCTCTCCATGACTCATACCAAAAACATGAGTCACGCGCGAAGAGTGTCTGTATCGACGTACCGCCAACGTTCACGGTTAATGTTAATCTGGCCCTGATGTCTAGGCAATTGGGGATTGCCTTCGATTGATGTGATAACTACAAAAAAAACCGTATCAACCGCTGTGGCCCCGCTATTATTGATGGACTTCAGATAGCATCTGGTTGGTACCACTGGCCGTCGGTGCCGTAACCGGACTAAACGCTACCACGATGAGTGGAAGAGTAGAAGTAGCCGAATAAGAATAATTGAAGCCATGGATTCTGGTGCACGACTCGAAAAACAGAAAATTCCATTTGTATATTTTGTTCACAATGTTGGGAAAAACGGTTTTTTTATTTAAACGTGTTATTTCATTTCGAGCAGAGCGACTAAAACGAATTTGGGATTAAACTGAAACTGCTTATGTTACTTATTAATTGCTGTTGTTGTTTCACCGATGACCGTTCATCGAACTTACAAACGAAAAAAATGTGTACAAACTTTCAAAAAAAACTATAAATAACAATAAGAAACTTAATTTTGTGTAAGTATATGTATAAATAATATTAAGTAAAAATATGTTAAATTGAAGAATTTAGTTTTAACAGAAAAGGACCTAAATAACCTGTAATGCAACTAAAAAAAAAAATGTTAAATTATAGCCTAATGACCCAGATATCGAAGACTTTTCTTTAAAAAAAAATATATATTTATAAGAAATTAACCATATTAAATTAAACATACCTACGTATACTTAAAACAGAATTTTGTAATAAAAATAATCTTATTATATTAAGAGAAGACACAAGTATAATATGTAAGTAAACATTTCATAACTTGTTTGTACAAGTGATTTAGTTTAATTTAACTATAAATTATATTTAAGTTGTTATTATTAAATTGTATTTTATGTATATGTGAGCTATGATAAATAGCTATTATACTACAATAATATATGTTATGAATTATATTTTTAAAATTGTAAATTAGTGATAAATTACCCAAACAATCAAACATAATTATAATTTTGTGTGTGACATTTTAAGAATCTATTATACTAAAATAATGGTTTAAGTAATTACTGCACTGAGACAAGGTGACGCACTCTTTCCCATTATTTTTAATTTAGTACTGGAAAAAAAAATAAGAGATAAATATATCAGAAGACATAACGTTAAGTCGATCAAAGATAATATATTACCGAAATATGCAAACAGTATTTCCATAGATTTAATTTAATTAAACTGGAAGTAAAGTTGGTCTTATAATACGAGTAAGTGACAAAAAATAAAAATAAAACAGATCACAAGATACTTAACAAAAGAAAAAGCATAAGTGTAGCCAGAGGGCCAAAGGCATAACCAGAACGGCTTTAGAAATAACAATTTATATTCTACTTTCTTAGAGACTGATTTTTCTTGCATACTCTGAACACGAACTCTAGTTACAGGGACAGCTCTAGAAAAAATGTTTATATACAACCACATTTTTATTACAATTTAAGTACCTAAAAATAATACATTTTCTTCTCAACAATTTTATAAGCGATATAATAATGAACCCAACACTTTTACTTTTTAAATAATTTACAGATAATACCATTGATTATCAATGATAATACTATTGAAAACGTGTTGGCTTGTATCATCAGCGCATAGCCCGTGTCGCCACGCCGAAAACAAATAATTTATATAATAAATAATAATATTGTGTATTATTATTATTGGCGTTCGATGATTGTCATTTCGGATAAAAATCAAATGTTAATATACGTTACCTTCGGTTTAATTTTGGTGTATTATACATTGTACATAAACTTGTATGACTTGTACGTCCCAACCAAAACTTAATTTAATATATATATATATTACTTTATATTAAATAATTTCTTTTTTGCTTGTCAGTGTATCAGAAACGGTTTTCAGTTTTTGGGTTAGCAAAAAGTAGCAACATATCCTAAATACGGCCCTGCCTACCACCAAGGAAATGCCACCCCAGATATGGGCCTGTAACGCTTGAGCGTAGTGGCGTATCTAGGATTTTTTTCTAGGAGGTGATATAACCATAACTATTTTGTATATTTGGAGCCAAAGGGACAAATATCTTCTAGGAGGATCTTGTTAACATACTTTTCCAGTTTCCGTAAAGTGCACTTTTTTATAACATGATTTTATTTAAAACTATACCAACATTAATAATATTATACAATTATTTTCATAATAAGTATAAGTTAGATCACAAAATAATGTCAAAATTCTGTTCACCGATCGGTTAATTTTAAACGTGACACGATTACACGAAAGGACTGAGAGCAAATGTTAACACTGAACACATGGTTTACACACTAACGCTAATATAGTATAAATTAAATAATCACAGATATAATTGATTAATAAATATTTAAACTAACCATGAACATTAGGATATTAAACTATAGTAATAATAATAATAATTCATCATAATTATCTAACGTTCACGATTTTCTTGAAACTAATAATAACTATATTGTCTACAACTGTTTATGTCTATTATCAACTTCTATTGATAACGGACTGATGGAACACTGAGAAATACTAAGAATTCATTATGGACTTACGGCTTAAGTATTTAAAAGAAAAATAAGAAAAGTGAAAAGAATAAAAAAAAGGTTCTGGGGGGTGATATATCACCCAAATCACCACCCGTAAATACGCCACTGTATGAGCGTATCAGTTATTATAACATCTTTTCTGACTTCGTACTACAATTTCTATGTGATGTCATTTGGTTTATTAATATTATAACAAAAATATTTATTTATTCTTTTTTTCTACACACAATATTTTCAAAATTATCTATTATATACAATTTTCAAATTTCGCTCTAGTGCGCCTATGTCGCCTACCCCTCGAGCCGGCTCTGTCTATAAGAAATAGGATGCATCAACATGGAGAGGTACAGAAATAGAAGGATCATAGGCGTGCGCACGGGTGTGGCTTATAGGACTATAGTCACACCTGATACTTTTTTTAGGTAGTTGGGTACTAAGTACTTAGGTAAAAAGGGCTAATAACTCTTTTTTTTTGGAAAATCTAAATTTGTATTTTATCAAATTACAAAAAAATTTAATTTTCCGGAATTGGCATTCATTGATAATCATATTGTACATCAGTTTTTCTAATAAATTTTATTTCCACTTACTTATGTTTTGTATATCTATCTTTTTTTTAAGGCGTGGTTTTATAAGGAAGTAGGTGATCAAAAAAAAATAAAAGCCATACCGGAAACAGGAATCTGCGCACGCCTATGAGAAGGATATATCTTCTATAGGGAAGAACTACTTAAGAACTTATTAGTTGTTTTAACTCAAGGCAATTAAAAACAGAGATATTAAGAATAATATAACTGCAAAAAAATGTTATGTTGGAGCTGGTACCCTTCTAAAATCCAGATCGATCCAGATAGATAACCTTTATGACATCCCATCATCCTACAAGTCTTAGAAACATGAGCACTAAGAAAGACCTATAGATTAGATGCTTTTGAAAGAAAAGTAACAAAGTGAATCCATGGACCATATCTTGACTCACAAACCGGGGAATGAAATAATGAAGAGCGTCAAAACATATTCCAAAAATCATGTATATCAAGGAAAGTTGCAAAAAAAAATGGTTAATGTAGGTTGGGTATGCCCGGAGAAAAAATAATTCCGTGATAAAAATATCACCTAGTTAAATAGGATCTGATAGGAATACGACTACTGGGCAGACCTTGCCTAAGATGGGAATATTATGTAAAGAGGGACGCAGTAGATCCAAATAACAACTAAAGAGAAGCAACTGATAACAGAGAGAGGTGATAGAAGCAATTTTCTGAACTTCTTAACTGTTAAATCTTTACATTAATTAATTTCATGATGTCTAGTTTGTTTTTAATTTACAGAAAATAAATATATATTAAAAATAATATTTATATTTGTTATTATCTATTTAATTTTTTTCTTACAAATGTGATAATATTAATTACTAATGACTAATAACTAATGACTTTTATTAAATGGACAATTCTATAATTTAAAAAAATATAGATCATTTTTAATGCAGTCAGGTGCAATTTCGATGTTCTTTACTCATTTACAGTCGAGGCATTTAAATTATGAAAATGCAATTACAAAGTCATATTTGTAACTCATGTCTTACAGTAATTATATTTTTTCGCAGACAATACATACTAATACGTAAAGACTTAACATTTTATAGGTATGGTAAGGTACTGTCATTCTCTTTAGTCTTTCTTACTTTTGTTCATAAAATATTAAGGGATTCGAAGAGAATATAGATAATTTATGATAGGAATGACAGAATTTTGTAAAACTGAACTACTAATAATTTGCAATACAAATATAAGCAATATTTATAGTCCATATTATACGTTTAACATTTATAGTACTAACATTATTTTGTACTTTAATGATAATATACCATTTAATTTTATAATATACTATAAAATACATAATTTTAAATTATAATATATTAAAGAAATAATGGTAATACTAATAACTAATGCATTTTATATTATGTGAAATTAATTATAAACGCAACAAACATTTAATGAATAACTAATATTGATTTAATCTTTGGCAATAACGATCTAACCGAGTTATTTATAGCAATATTCGTCATATACCATTAGTCTATTTTTATTGACATTCGTAAGAAATTAACTGATTACTATTATAATTAATTTATCATATTATAAATAGTAATCATTTATTAATCATCAATACACATTTAATACCTATTAATTTTTGTTAAATATCTTTAAGAAATTTGAATTTTTATTAAACTAAAGGAAACATTTAAATTTAAATAATATGTATTCAAATATGTTAATATAAATTTTTATTAGGTACATATAATCTTTATATGATATATTATTAAGTATCATACAATACTTTCAATTCTAACATTTTAAAAACATAATATGTTCAATAAAATACATAGAGATAGATCATTGACAGACTTGCTCAGACAATCATTTTGACACATCTTCCTCTTACGTTTTATACTTATACTAAAAAAATATAATAAAGGTACTTAGATATAGTTATTACCTAATGGGTCATTCATTAGAAAATGTTAACGGGAAGTTGAAATGTATCGTTGAATTTTACATAGAACACTGAAACTCGACTCCTTGTACGCTCGAGAAGCTTAGGTAAATCAATCTTTCCCCGAAGCAATTTTACTATTAAGTTTTGATCTGTTCTTAGCCACCTGATCTCGAGAGAACTGATATTTCAGAGCTTCCAGAATTTGATTTCTCATGTCTCCAAGACATCCGACAGGTTCTCATGATTCTAATCTCTTATTTCTGAGTCCTTAAAGTGATATATTTTTAATAAAAACCTATACAGCATTAATCTCGAATATGTGCTATATTCCATTATATTTTGTATTATTGTACATGTGTATACTATTTATATTGTAAGTACTTGATTATATTTTAAGATTCAGGTTATACATTATCATGCGTACAAGAGTTTGATAAATATTATACTTTTATCTTTCATAATATTGAGTATACATTTTTAACACAATTAAACTATAATAAACATTGTTAAATTTAGTTTTTGTTCTAAGGTTGTCCTTGAGTAAATTCATTCATTACGAATATTAATGTTTACAAAGTGGGTCACGAAATATGCGGGCAAATAATTAGTGTTGATTAAATATGTTAACTATAGACTAAGTTATTACCTACACAAAGATAACTACCATAGACCATTACCAAAGTATAATTAGTTATAACAATATTTATTTTACTAATTTGAAGAATATAAATTATAATGCTTTTGTAAAGTTGATGAGAAAAAAAATTATTGGAAAATTATTTCAAAGTTATATTAGTTTTTTTTTACGAGTTTTTTCTTCCTTATATGTTCAAAACGAATCAATAAAGAAACTATTAAGGTTTGACGAACAAAATATAATTACAAATATTTAAAAAAAACCAATGATAGTCGTTTTAAAACTAATATACATCTATTTTAATAAGCATTAGGCCACCAATACTCAATTAGCAAACGAAATAAGTAGAATTTTTCTAAAACATCTGTGAATTTTTAAATCGGATAAATACAAATATGGTACACGAATACACAATAACTTTTAAGGAAAAATGTATGGCTACATAAAATTGAAAGCTATAATATTTTTATTACACTGATCTTAATATCTTGTCTATTTCTATTTAAAACGTCGAATAGGAAATATCAAGATAATATGACTTGCGTTGTAATATATTCTAAAAACCGAGCTTGCACAAAAGTCCTGGGCCTCGTATTATAATAATAATTCGTCGAACGGTCGTTCGGAACTATTAACGGCCGCGGACAAAAGGATCGAAAAAAACGAGACGTCGAGTCTTTGTGTCGGTTGTCGTGTTTTCTATTTTTATGCGCACGAACACTTTTCGCCGTGCCGCGGTCGTGTGATTTGCGTTAACGCGTAATATTCGGAAAAGAGAGAAAACCATTGCTGGACTTTAGGGCTGACGCAGGGGAACGGAGTACCCCAACTAATTTTCAGAAATTTTAGCTACTATTATAACGCTTAACAAGTTTTGGGGACTCTCTTTTTTTGAGTAAACAAAGTCCTTCTGCTTTAATTTTGCCAAGTCGAGAACTTCTCAGAAAACCGTTTTTGACCGTTCGCGCGGCATGAACGCGACGCTGTTGGTACGTCCTTGACGGCGAAGAGGACGTTGGGAGACAACGGCCGTTGTCCGGTCGCGGAGGAACGAGCGCGCGCGCCAGCAGCATCAGCCGGATAGAGGAAGAACGAGGCACGCGGCCGCCGCGGACAAAAGACGAGCGCGGCAAACGCGATAAAGATTGTGTGTGCGGGCAGTGGGGAGGAGGGTGTACGTGACGGACGGCCGGGAGTGCGACGGCGGGACAACACACGGGCACGTTGTACCGAACGTACACGCGGCGGCGCGCGATCCGTATTGCGTACGCGGATACGATTTTTCAAACGGACGTGTGAAGAACGCCGGCTTATCGATCCGTACACGCTCCGCCCAAGCGCCGCGGCAGGGGGACGCATCTGTTCACACGCCACCACGCGTTCACACGCCACGCGTTACCACGTCACGGGTTTCGGGATGGCGTGTTAACCCGTCTTTCGGTTTCTTTAACTTTTCAACCGGCCTTGCTGCTGCGATCGTGTTTAGCGACGCCACGATTTTTCCACAGCGGTTTCGGAAAAACGTGCTACGGGAAATCACGTATTTTCATTCCGAACTCTCGACGTTCCACAATGTCGTCCCCCGCGTGCAGCGAAGAACGATTAATCGAAAACGTACGTGCGCGCACTTCCTTGTACGATATTTTTTCGGTCGACTATAAAGATCAGAACGTCCGCAAAGCGGCGTGGCGAGAGATCGGAGAAGTTTTGCAAATGCCAGGTAAAATGCATACTCCATTAATTATAATATTCCTTGCAATGTACGGTGTTGCCAGCTGAAACCATACATTTCTGATTGGATAATATGTTATTTCAAACAATTGTATGAAAGCGTTATCGACATGGTTAAGATGTTTATGACCTAAAAATCTCAAAAATGTAATGCCATACGAAACATTTTATCTTCGTCTCTAGTGGTGGTAAATCTCAAACCAAAGCTAAAGCCTAATGATCTATAAGATTCTCTAGTAACCGGAAATCTATAAATATTAAAAGATAATTTATATAATAACTGAATCTATTATGTTCTATAGCTGAAAAGTGTAAGTCAGATTGGACCAAATTAAGAAATTGTTTTCTAAATTCGATTCGTAGACGCCGGAATAAAACAACTGCCAATCATATTCCTCCATGGAAATTTTCGCAACAAATGGAATTTCTTCTGCCTTTTTTAGAGAACCGAGAGTAAGCGTTATAATGAATGTTAAATTTTATTTTTTATAATATTAGTTTAAATTTAATTTAACGCGCAGTAACATAGAAGTTCATAATGAAGATGAAAGTTCAAAAGTAATGTCGGATATGGAAAACGACACCTCAAATAGCTTACCAGAAACACAGGAAGACCAGCCAGCTAATTATGAACTAAATGACGACACTGCACAGAAAGGCTCAATGAAAAGAAAAAAATCCAACTGTAATGAGGAAATGGTAGAAATAATGAGATCAAACGCAACCTTCAAAAGGGAGAAGTATGAGAAAAACAATTATAATATGAATCAAGTTGAACTTTTTTATTTAAGCATGGCTAAAATAGCAATGAGCTTACCGAAAGCCAAAGAAGCGAAACTTCGTATGGAAGTTTGCAACAAAGTATCTGAGGCAGAGTTAGCTCATTTATTGGAAGTTGAAACTACTTGTATTAGACAACAAGAATCAAATCAAAATTAAATAAAAACAAAATGTTATTAGTGTTATGGAAATTATATATTTATTGTATATTGTATTGTATATTTGTATTATCTAATAAAGACAGTGCCGCAACTACAAAATAGGAGGCCCGTGTGCGGTAATTATATTAGGCCCTTTCCTAGGATTTATTTTTGTTGTACGTCTTATTAATAAGTATCAAATTTTTAGGTTTTAAAACACGTTTTTAGTTAGTGTATGATGTATGTATATGTATTAAATTAAATACCTACAACTGTTGTATATTATACTTCACTACATATTTATGTAGTACATTTATTTAAGTAGTTTAGGTAGATATCTTGTATGTCTATTCAAATACTCAACGGATTCATTGTTAAATAAATATTATAACATCCTTACCTGAATTTTAAAAAGAGTTTCTTTTTATTATAAAATAATAATAAAATATTATTAATTAATTGTGTATTTGCAAAGTGTAGTTTCTTTGAAGCTGGGACTAGTGGGCCCCCC